ACAGACAGACAAAAATTCTAAAAACTATAGATTCGGCCTCTGTATCGATAATAATGTCTATTTTAATAAGATTTTCCAAAAAATTTGAATGTACAGATTCGGCTTAGTTACAATTTTATTATATGTATAGATAGGTATTGGATGTAAGTTAGCTGTTGGCAACGAAATTTTGGCAAGTTCCTGGAGTTACTCAATTCTTTTCTTACAGGTAGGTAATTAATAATTACCGCAATCTTACACAATTACTTATAAACTCAGTATACCGTTACTCGAAATGCGTTGTTATTTTTCAAAAATGTCTCTCTATATCTTAGAAATAGAGTTAGCAATAAAATCTCTCCGTATGACCACATTTACTTTTGTTAACATCTAGCCTGTAATCTGGCTAAACATTGTTCCCCTGCAAAAAAGTAGGTTAGTCTGCGTAATATATAAGGTATATTTACGTAGACCGTAGCAAATACTTGTTAGTACAACGCAGATATAAACAGTATTATAAGTAAACGCCATTAAAAGGGACATGTTTAAAACACACTTCACCTAGAACATGGATGTTGAATATGATCAGAATTTATATCGTTTGAATGCTTTGTTTTTATCTATAGAAACTTCCTTTGAATATTTTTAATTCCCAGAATTCTAAAAGAGTCTAAACGATTCACAATAAAGTAAAAAGCAATTAGTTATTCCTATTTTCACCAAATGTATCTAATAATATCTTCATTCTAACTGTATGTCATTATTCATTCATTCATTCATTCATTCATTTAACATTAATCCATCCGACCGAAATACTTTGATTTTCTTTGTAACCGACACAATTCAAAGGGGGAGCTTTCATCCCACCGACCGACGAATACCAAATGCCATTGACACTGTCATTTCAAACCCGACCTAAGATGATGCCATATAAAAAATACGAAACACTAACCGTATTCTATGTTTATGTTTCGTATTCTGTATGTACCCATGTAAAACTATTCCTGCATTTCATCGTAAGTAGTTTAGCAGTTTAGTCATAAAATGCAAACAAGTATACAGACAAACAGATAATTTTGCACCTGAAATGAATTTCGGAAGTATATATTTATATAAATACTCTTTGTATATATATTATTTAAAAAATATATTATTTATAAAAATAAGAATTTTATATTAATAAAAAATATTTCTAACTAGCGTCTCACCCTCACTCCGCTCAGGTTCCTCCCGACGTTACGTTTTGTATAGATTTCTCAGAGATTAGATATTTTCCTGCAGTAAAAGGTATCCTTCCTATATGTTGACCCGGATAACCATCTATCATCATATCAAATTTCATCAAAGTTTGTCCAGAAGTTTTCTCGTGATGCGTTCCCAGACAGACAGACGAAAATTATAAAAACTATAGATTCGTCCTCTATATTGATAATAAAGACTATTTCAAGAAGGGATTTTATTATATGTAGGTATAGATTATTTATCTATTGTATAAATTCTTGTCATCGTTACTGCCATCGAGTTCAAATATACATTTTTCAGTGACCCAGTGCTATGCTATCAATCAAATGGATCTCAATGTCAGGAATGTTCGATATCAATATTGTATTTTATAAAAGACACACCAGACTGTTCAGTGATGGATCTGCTGTAACTTTTCCATTAGTTTTAGCACAGATCACATAATACTATACAAGTAGTTTTAGTGACCTACAAATACATCCAGTGCCTAAAATAAGGTTTCAAAGATCTGTGCTAGCACCATACTAGTCTTTTTTAATTCGCTGCAAAAATGTGATGAGTTACTGTATAAAACTTTACTTTTGTTACATATACACAACATTATTTTTTTAGGCCTTATTTTTTTAACAATAGCCTTTATATGTAATTGTTGTTTATACATACATACATATTTGTACAAGAGATTACGAGTTCAATTCCCGGATCTTGGATAATACCTTATATTTACATAAATATAAATCACTAGCGACTCACCCTCGCTTCGCTCGGGTTCGTCCCTAGCTTGATTCTCCATACAAATTTTCATCCCCATTTTCACCCCCTTAAGGGATGATTTCCGAGATAAAAAGTATCCTATGTCCTTCCCAGGGTCTCAAACTATCTTTTAACCAAATTTCATCTAAATCGGTTCAGTAGATCTAGAGATTACCCCCTACAACGTCACAAACTCACAAACTTTACCTCTTTATAATATTAGTATAGATAACTAGTAAAAGTTCGATAGATTTCAAGTGTACTAAAATCTGCTATATAAAACACGTGTCACGAGAACGTCCTTTTTACTGGTACTTTTGAAAGTGTAACTTTGTTACTAAGGGTAGATATTGTAACAACAGTTTTAAATAGACCCACGATATCAGTGCCCGTTGGCGTGTTGAACAAATCCAATTACTGCAGCTGATTGAGAATATGGCAGAATTTAAAAGTAGTTTTAAGTTTTAAATATCTGAACCACACTCCACATCTTTCCAACTTGTTAGGGTAATAAATGGAACTCTACATTTCTTTTACTCGTATTTAATAGGCATTGTAATAGTTATAAACTACGTTGTGTAGTTTCTATTTTACCCTTGACCTACATACCCTAGATGATTTTCATGTACTAATAGACCTAAGCACGCATCGTTTGACTATGTTCACCTAATAATCAGGTTCCCTGGCGTCATATTAAAATGAAATATATTATACCTACTTTGTAATTAAAGCTATAAATTATAATATGTTTATAATTTTATGAAATTATTAACCCTATAAATATATTTACGTAATATTGAATATAATAATTGTAACAAAATATCATTTTCAGTACAATATCGATACGTATAACTAATTACATTTTCACCACATGTATCTTAATGGTCGTCTCTATGGAAACATAAAGAGAAATATTTATATTATATATCGTATTACTTATATAAAATACACAACATTATAAAAAAATCTACTTTCTAGAGATTCGTCAGTATTCGCCCCGCTCAGGACCTAACTACAATCTATTACTAACTAGCGGCTCTCCCTCGCTTTGCTCGGGTTCGTCGCTAGGTACGTTTTAAATAGATATAAATAGTTATAAGCCAGCGTTAACCATATATATTTTTTTGTTATTAATATTGACAAATAATGACATTATACGATACTAACGTCACTCAATTGTTTTGTCTTCCCGGAACCTCTCCAACAACACTTAAACTTTATGGTATGGTATTAGATTTCAAATTTAGTTTTAAGTATTATTACGAATCTTTTGTATGGGAGTATAGAAAAGTGTTGGTTTTAGACTTTTTCATCCAATTTTTAAAAATTTTCTCTCCGTAAGAACCATCCTCGTACTTCAAGGAATATTCTAAAAAAAGAATTAAAGCGAAATCGGTTCAGCTGCTCTCGAGATTTGCGCTTACCAACACATTCAGCGATTCATTTTTATATTATACTCGTAGATAGATGTCACATAGGAATTGTGATGGGGAGCATATTATGTCATTTAGAGGTAATGTTATCTTTCATTCATATTATAGTAGGGGAGCCCAAGAGGGGATTTTCTGTAGTTACTCGAGCGCGGCAGATTAACATAAAAGAGGTTACCTTGCACTCTATTAAGTACTTTCACCATAATATAAGTCTTCTATATAAAGGGGCGCGTCTAGGGAAGCCGATTAAATTAAATCACTATAAAGTTTATGATGATTTTTGCCTCTTAGGCTTGTGCAAATCGGCAGATTATTGAATTGGACACTTTTCAGGATGTGACTAGCCTACCACACCTTAATCTGACGGTTTCAAGTATTTCTACCTTATCAAAACATTTTTTAAATATTTTAATTAATTGGCTTTTAAACCACCCATCGTCCATAATGATGTGAGATAATAGAGAAAGAAATGAGTAGTAAATTGGAGCATTTTCTTAATGGTAAGCGACTTTTTAGAGTAGAGATACGGACGTAAGAACTATATGGTACAAATAAAAACTTAACAAACAATTAAGACTGAGCCCAACGACTTTTGTGTAGAAAATTAAATATATATTTTTATATGAATCTAGTAATTTTTAAAACAATTGCCTATTTGCACTACTATATGCTAATCATAAATACTTCTTCATTATTGCTTACCCGGCAAAGGAAGAAAAATAGTTGTCAACTTTAAAAAACGAAGAAGATGTATTCGCAGATATTATATAGGTTGGTCGGATATCTTTACAAAATTTATAAGTAATTTTAAATTTAATCCTTTCTTAGATTTAGATATACGTGAATATTTAATAGTTTAACTGCCTCGGTGGTGTAGTGGCTAGCATGTACGGCTGCACACCCGGAGGTCCTGGGTTCGAGTCCCGGGTCGGTTCAAGCTTAGTTATTGAGTCTTTCTGTATATTAAGCCTCAGTAACAGCCCGGAGTTGGGAAGTTGGCGGTGTTTCACCCCCGTGCCTCGGAGAGCACGTAAAGCCGTCGGTCCTGCGCCTTAACTCTCACTGGTCGTGTCTCGTGTCGTCCCACCGGAGTATGAGAGTGACAGGAATAGAGAGTGCACTTGTGTCTGCGCGAACACGCGCTGCACTATAATATCTCCTGCGCAGTTGGCTAGTCTCAATGAGATTGGCCGCCGTGGCCGGAATCGGTTAGGAGAACATTATTTAATAGTTTAAAATAAAACTATTTTTCAGATTTTTCTACGGACTTATTTAGATTTTTGGTTCTCGAAATTTTGAATCTATACAGCTTTCATGGTCACGAGAAAAGAGTTATCTTAAAATTTCAAATTTATATCTTTTATAGAATGAGAGTGTACTCACATACTAACTCATATTCGTATTAAACACTCTTATTAAAAAAAACACGTAATGTTTCTTATTAACAGTCATATAGTATGAATGATTAGCATTGTTACAATAGTTTCACAAATTAATCATAATTTACTAAGAGACCGAGACATTGAAACCTGCAGTCAAGACAAGAGCATTCAACACAGCATCCGTGTGTTTTCATCTAAATATAACTCAATAATGCCATCAGGTGTTATCTTTATCATTTATATCCCATCAAGCAATTATGAACATATCCTTAAATTTGGTAAACCAAAAGAATTGCTACCATTAGATCCGCTGCTTGAAAATTGTCATTTAGAGGTGGAATTGCGTAATAAGAAAGCGAGAAGCATTCCAATACATTTGACGCAGAATTTTTATAGCGAAAACTATAATCCTATATTGGAAAATATAAATGAAGATGACGAATTCATTACAATGGAGAGTGTGAGTATTCATTTTCGCGTTTAGAAAAATTGAAAATAATGTTACTTGGAAAATAACATAACTCTAGAATTCGATATGAAAATATATTTACTGTTATAAAGTGATTGATGTGATTTCTAAAGCACCCTAAAATTAGGTAAATGCATATAATGTATCCTTCAAAATATTTCAATCTTTATAATACCTTAGATAACTATCTAATTCAAGTAGAAGCCTTGTAATGTATCAAGCATATCGTTATGCATTTTATTATGCATATAATACGACACATTATAAAAAAGATTCAATCAACATACATTAATACAATAAATATCTGGGTCAATCCAATCATTACTTATATCAAATTATTCTATGACCATGAACAGTTTAATTTGCAGTATAAATTCATGTGCCTCTAACTTAATAGGCCCAACTTACTCTAATTAATGTGGAAAAGGCTACAAAGTGCTTAAATACACTCTACTAAAAATAAACAATTATCGTTAAACAAACGTGAAGCATTAAAACTTATTAAAACTTCAACTGGCTGTTTATTATACTTTGTTTGGCATTTCACAGATTTTGCAAGAATTATTACGCAAATTAAACGTGGAGCACGTTGTGTGGACGAACGACAAATTGGGCAATTATCACGAGGTGGTATTTCCCCTAGCCACGGGAGACACGTGCGAAACCATGCTCCATTGCTTAACACAACTAGGGATCGGCGTTCGCAACAAGTCCATTGTCAGGTAATTTTGACACGCAAGTTGGCTGTAAAAGTAATCTTTATACTTACCCTACCGACCGACCGACTTACCCTGGCATCTTTTGGGTGTAGTCTTGCGCACCTCATACAAGAGGCACCTCAAATGTCACACTCAAAGTTGTGAAATGTCCCATCGCCTCAAAAATTTTTTACCGCTTCAAACTCGTTGAGGTACTTGGAAGCGATGCGCTGAATGTGATTGAGGCGGCGAGTCGTACGTCGAGGTGTCGGGTCCGTCCCTAGATACGATTATACTCCCCCCGATTCTTTTTCTAAAATAAAAGTAGCCTAAGTTACTTCTTATAACATCAGCTATTTGCTAGTGAAAGTCCCGTCAAAATTGGTTCAGCTGTTTCGGAGATTAGCCGGAACAAACAGACAGACAATCAATTTTTTTTTTTTTTATAAGTACTGCTTATACTTTCGTACGCATTTAGTAAAACGGTGTTATTTTGACAATGCAAACAGATACTTCAATTTTATTTACCCGTACTATAGATAAGTTATACTGTAACTAGGTAAATAATGAAAATGTATGTAGGTATATCACGCATAAGGTTATAAGAAGGTCATTTACAAAAGCTATATATTTATTACTTGAGCATTTATTAAGTTGAAGAACAAAATAAAAATGTAAGTTTTATTTTAGTTAAAGTATGTAGAGTACCTATGATATTTTTATACAATTTTATGTTATTGCAGTGTTCTACCTTGTAATGTAGTACATGCAGCTTGTGATTATCCTGATGATGATGATGATGATGCACTCCTGTAAGTTTTTATATTATTGTATTTAGAACTTTTTAACGTCCCACTGCTGGGCACGGGCCTCCCTTCAATACGAGGGGAAACAGGCCATAGTCCACCACGCTAGTCAAGGGTGGTTTGGCGGACTTCATATGTCTTTCGAAAACTTGCTTGGTTTTCTCAGACATGCAGGTTTCCTCACGATGTTTTCCTTCACCGTAACGCAAGTGGTAATGATGTTAGACATGATTCGCACATCAGAGCTGCAAGATCCGGGATTTGAACTCTCTTCACTAGGTTTCCCAAGCGAGCGCGTTGCCACTGCCTTATTTTTATATATTTATTATATTATAATAATAAAAATATAATATATAATATTAAAAATATAACTTATAATTTTAAAAATAACTTAATTTAAACAGAAATCTAACATTCATTTCCTATTTAAATTTCTTATTAAAAATTCACCCTAATGTTTTAACTCAGAAAGAAAAGTGAGGAAGCGAAACGATGGCGAAGTTTTGTTGAATCAATTAGGTCAAAACTGACAGTGAAGCAAGTTGTCGACGGCGTCCGAGGCGGCGGGGAACTCTCGTTTGACTATCTTACTCTAATAATAACAGCTGAGTAAGTTTAACAATAGCTTGATTCTAGATATTTGAACGCAAATACACAAAGATAAGTTTAAAATGGCTTTTACAAATAAAAGTTACACCCATGACTTAAATTTGCTCTGACGACACAATTATATTTAAAACTATCCTTTTTTTAGTTCTCTGGCAGCATTAGGCTTAGTGGAAAACAATGCATCAAATATTGTGGCAGCCATGCTGGTATCACCTCTCATGGGACCCGTCATGTCCATCACATTCGGAACCATTATATCCGATAGAAGTCTAGTCCGAAGCGGCTTTGAGAGCCTTATTCTGGGGATGCTCTTCTCTTTATTATTTGGCTTCATATTTGGACTTATTTTGGGTACTACGGAAATGCCTTGGGGCTTTGGTGACTGGCCCACTGAAGAAATGAAATCACGGTAAATAATTAAAATCTGTCGTATGACTTTAATTTCATACATCTTACACAAATATACATAATATGTACACCTACACTACATAATAATGTACATATATAGAAGAACATAAGTATGTATTCAGCACTTTTTAACGTCCCACTGCTGGACACGGGCCTTCCTTCGTTTAAATTTTTAATCTTCAAAAATTGTAGAGCAAAATCTTGTCAACGACCCTTTTTTTCGCTTGATTTATTTCTAATTTTTAATTATTTTTTTGCACTTGAAGAGGTAACGTTCGCTCTTTATGGATGGGTGTGCTTTGGGCTCTGACCTCCGGAACGGGCGTGGCGCTCGCCCTACTGCAGGGCAGTGCAGGTCCACTGATAGGCATCGCCATATCTGCCTCGTTGTTACCGCCCGTTGTGAATTGCGTAAGCTCTCTATATATTATTTTATTTCAGAAACAGAACGATCTATCTAAAAATAAAGTTACACATACTTTGTAGACCAATAATGTGGGCACTAAGACATAATATTGTTTAACTACTTATAGCTTAAATCTTCTAAAGTGTAGAAGATTTATGACCTAGCACATATTCTATAGATACATATAATATAGTACTAAATATAATATTTATATAATAAGGCAAAGTTAAACCCAAATAAACAACAAAAGAGTCATTTTCTAGAAATGATAATAGAAGTAATGGGAGACAGATATAATGCCGTAATTACGTTTAAGTTGGGGAAAATAAATTGGGGCTAGCGTTTTAGTAGCGTTAGCTAAATGTTGTTTATAGAGACCCATCTATACATGAGGCATAAACATACATTAGAATTTAGGGGTATAAATAACTAGATAGCAAAGTATTCTAATGCTCATAAGCCAGAATGTAAATTCATGATAGAAGTACTACAAATGAATCACCACACTTACAGATCACTTCACTTGAAGCTTATTTAGGACATGATAATTTTAAACTTTTATAAATTTCTTTGTAATGCTTCACACACACGATATGTACAATATACATATATACCTACCTATACTCTAGATATCTATAATTTTTAATTAGTAGTTATATATAAAAATTAGGATGGAAAAAATGTAAAATATATTGAGTATAGTTTATTTTTGAAAAACAACGATGTATGGAGAGATATTTACAAGTTAGTTTGTAGAATTTTAACCAACATAAAAAACTAATATATTTATAATTAAGGTTCTAAATTCAATAAATAAAAATAATTATATTTATAATACTAAATAAGCTAAATATACTAAATATGTCTCTATGAACATATCCTTTTTTTTTTAACGTTGGGAAATGCATTTACGCACGAAGTGTGGGACTCACCGGCGAAGCCAGTACTACCCACTAAAACCCAACAAAACCATCCCCCGTCTTAATGGGGCGTCGCAGGATCGCTTACGCATTCAACTACGACGCCCCGACGGCAGGTCTGCCGAAGCAGACCACAACAACCATAGGGTTGCTCCACGGTCCACTCTGCTATCAGAGAAGTACCAGGAGCAACCCGCATGGTACACCACCCTCCGAAGAAGGCTGCCTACCACCGCCCACCGAAGCGGGCCACCTCCCTGTGCGTTTCTTGGCTTCGCGAGTGCACTACTGAGCCCCCCCACCACGACAAGGTGAACGCACGTTGGGGGGGTCTATGAACATATCCTAGTGCATTTCGTACAAAAAGTTTTGTATAATGTATACGAAAATAAAACATTCGTGCTATTGAAAATGAAATATATGACGTTATATATTCATAAAAAACCATATTTTTATGTTAGCTACTTTTTTACTATATACTATATAATATTTCATAAAAGCACGTTTAGCATCTTAACAATAGTCGAATTACATATAAAATTCACGATCTCACTTAACCATTTGCATTTATCCTAGGGCTTATTCTGGGCATTGGCGTGTATATGGTTGTTGTATCCAGGCGTGAAAATACCCCACATCAAAGGAGAGCCGTATTACGGTAATTCGTCTTACGTGCCGCTCTACCATGACTATATGCCTATAGAGTTCGCTGTGAATGGTAAGATTACTTTGTTATATAAATTTCGCATATAATAATAATAAAAGCTCTTCATTGCACAAACGAAAGAAGAAAAAATCAATACAGAGTTCGGAAAATGCACAAGACGAGGTCTTATCGCTAAAATAGCGATTTCTTTCAGGCAATATTTTATATCTAATGATTATCTTATATATAAAATTTCCATGTCACAATGTTTGTTACCGTACTCCTCCGAAACGGCTTTACCGATTTTTACCAAATTTTATATGCGTATTCAGTAGGTCTGAGAATCGGCTACTATCTATTTTCCATACCCCTAAGTGATAAGGATAAGGGTGGTCCTCCCAGACCCCACCCCAGGGACGAACCCGAGCGGAGCGAGGGTGAGTCGCTAGTCTATATATATAAAAATCAATTGACGTTCGTTAATCTCGCTAAAACTCAAAAATGGCTATACCGATTTGAATAACACTTTTTTGCTTTGTTGGGAGTGTGTCAGGGGTGGTTTAAGTTTAAAAAATAGGAGAAACCCATAAGAACAGCTGGAAAATCGAAAACTTAAAATCTCGGAAATCTGAATCTCGGAAACGGCTCCAACAATTTTCATGAAATTTAGTATACAGGGGGTTTCGGAGCGATAAATCGATCTAGATTAGCCTTATGTCTGGGAAAACGCGTGTTTTCGAATTTTCTTGCGGTCAAGCGGCCAAGGCGCAAGATTGAATAAGTGTCCGGGCTCGAAACCCGGTCAGATACAAAGGTGTAATTTATTTAATTTTTTTTGAATTTATTCAAGTTTTTTGTTTTTTTTAAAAGAAAATTGTACTTTTGACCAAAAACTCCGAGCGAAGCTCGGTTGCCCAGGTGCTGTATATAATATAGGTATCTATAGTCTATCTAATCCATACTAACCGTAAAAACGCACCTAGGGACGAATCCGAACGAAGCGAGAGGGAGTCGTTAGTAGGTAATATTATAAATCTTAGCAATTCACTAGAGCTGTTTTATATTTTGTAAAAAGAAATCTCTGTACATTATCATGGAACTTATTGAATTAATTCATATCAAATTGATTTCTATGATCTCTTTCTATCAATGAACTAATTTTGTATTACGAGATATTATTGTATACCTATTACGTATTCATATAGGATATCTAGATATCATTATTATAATAAATCAACCTCATTCGTTTCCTTTTTAGCAGCTTGGTTTATCTATTTAACAGGTATTGTTAGCTGCTGTTTAACAATCGTAAATGTAATATGTATATTTATCACGGCGATCATTTTCCTGAAAATAAAAGAAGTAGCTGCGCCATACACCTCCACGCCGGATTTGAGAAGGTTCTGGGAAAAGGACATTAAGGTGGTGAGAGAAGCAAATCGTGCTAATTTGTATAAAGCTGAAGACGACGAAAGAACTGAGTGAGTCAATAATCAACATATGATTACTAATTAGAACTCGTCTCTTCTCACATTAAGGGAAGGCATATGCCAGCAATGATGATGAAAAGGCTTTTATTTATTATTTTTACCATCCTTTTACACTTCTAATTAAAATATTTAGGTACTTAATAATCGTAGAGTCAATTCTTGTTACAAAATTGTCACGTTTCGCGAGAAGTAGAATAAAGAAACAATAATGGAGAAGTTTCATGATGTTGATAATATCATATTTAACGCAAAGGAATTATAATATAGATCAAAACTAATAAATAAGTTTTTTTTTTTAAATCTATTAAATAATGACTGAGGGATTAATATAAATATCGGTCGTACAGGTCGTGTGACGCATGAAATTACTCTTACAAGCGCAACTTTAAAGCTTCATAACTTTTTCATTTATTGAGATATTTTAATACATAATTCTTTCATATTTTACTTAATTTTTTATAATTAGATATCTGATACAAAAAAATGTGAAAGTTCTTGATTATATTAGACAAATTAATTGAACAAAAAAACTGTAAATCGTAGGACTGCACGTCAGAAGCACGGTAATGTTAATAACATTACCGTCAAAATGGATTGCGTCTGTTAACGCAACTATAAGCCAATAGAGTAAAGAAAAAACATTACCGTCTCAGAACTTCATAAACTTGTAAACATTAATTTTGATTTATTAAGAAATATTTTTTAGGAAGTATTTTCTATTAGAAATTATTTTTAACAACGTAATAATATAGTCATAAAATTTTCATTTATTGCGCTGTTTTTTCAAGGAAAATAATGATTATTATATATCATATATAGCTCTTCTGTATATAGCTTTTTTACATATATACACGAACATACAGACACACACACACACGTTTGTACTCGTATATAATTATGTATCTGAGCGTGGCGGTCACGCGAGTTCAGTGGTAAAGTTTTCACTTCAAAAATTCTTCCCATCTCCCAAAAAAAACCTTAAAGAATTGTAAAATCCCTATTGTAATATAATGTACTTTAATATAGTTTAATTCAAATAGAAATGTAAGGTATGAATTTAACGAGAGTAAAGAGGAAGCTTTTATTTTTCTTCTCTTACTAAATAGTTCTCTTCTTTAAAAGATTCGAATTTTAAATATATGTAATGTATTTATATGTAGTTTATAGTAGGTAATACATTATGTTTGCTCTACAGATTTTAATGTTACAAAAGATACTTACAATTAGATTAGGTATACCATGTATATATTGCCATCTTAATAAAACGTAATATTTAAAACGAGTAAATATTTAATTTAAATGGATGGGCGACATTTTATTTTTGTTATAGACTGGTCTTAGAAGATTTACATCAAGAAAACGGTGAGGGGCTAAACGAAAAGTTAGAAGCGGCCGTTCAAGAAGCACTTGACGATGAGACTTATAGAAAAGTTAAGAGAATGAGCTATCAGAGCCATAACGCCGACGAGGTACGTATTTCTTATATATGTAACTACCCTTCAGTGGTGGTTTAAACTCTAGAGGGTAGTACATTCGACTGCAGATCTTGTGATCACAGATTCAAATTAGCATCCGGCAATAGTGCATGGCTTCTCTAGCCGGTGAGTCCCACATAACCACCAATATGTATGCAAGTGGTATGCGTAAATGCATTTCATGCGACGCCCCATAAGACGGGGGAGGTTCTGTTGGGTTTTACTGGATACAACTGGCTTTTATACCTGTATACATACAACTGTATGTATAAATGCACTTCCCAACTTAAAAAAAATACTGTCTTACATAATTCTTCATTTTACTTATATCTCTATTTTATTTTTATAATTATTACTATCATATCATATGTTATTTTTACAAAAGCCAAAAATCGTAATATTATGATCACCTAACATTACAAAATACTTGTACTCAGGTAATTCGTACAATTGGACTTCAGCGGTCACCTCCATCGATCCGCTCGAGTATAATTGGACCTGGCGCGGCCACACCTCGTGGTGAAGGATCAAATATTAACGATATCGCTGCATTAGATAAACTGCTGACATCGTTACTCGGCTTACAAAATAAACGGACTAGGTCATTTCGATCTCATATCGGAACACCAAGAGCAAGCCGTTTACCAACTTTGGAAGAATCAGGAAGAAACAGACGGTCAGAATCGTGGCCCGACAGAATATTCGAAGATTCTGTAATACGGAATGTTATAAACAATTTGAAAACTAGCAAGAGGAATTCTGCAGTTGATGAACCTTTCTTAACGCCCAAATAATATTCTAGTACCAAATAATTGATATTTAAATTTTAAATGTAATCAACAAAATATTTATTGTATATAGTGACGCTATATATTTAATTGATGTGATGGCCACTTAAGATAACACGTTATAAAATTGCTTGTAATCGAGTTGTAACATTTAATCTAATGATGTTTTTATGTTTTGTCGTTTAGTTTTTCACGTAAAGGTGTATCTATTAAAAGTCTAGTTATTGGTAATTTTCTAAATAACACATAATTACAACATTTATCATTATTAATTATTTAACTATTTTTACGTCATTATTTTTCTCTCAAGAGTAGTTATAATTATTTTTTGATTTATTTTGTAATTTACTAAGTAATATTAATGCAAAGTTTTGGCACGATTTTACTTAAACCAGTTATTTTAAAAATTTTATAGGACTAGCGCTTTCTACCCGTTGTATTATAGGACAATGTTTTTTATTGAGACTACACTTACGGCGTCATGTTCTCCGTTTGTCGTAAAATATCACCAAGGGGGCGACAAAAGCCGAGCGTAGGACTGAGAAATCCTACCATTTTATTTGTAGGATGATTTGATTATAATTTAATTATGCATATTTTTAATAATAAATACTATGAAAATCAGCCGCTTATTACTAATAAATTTTATTAAGTTGTTATTTTAACAAGTTCGGAGAGGGGGTTTATTTGATCCAAACCGTCTGTTTTGTAGGACAACATTTTTTCTTATTTAATGTTGAATTATCTCAAGATTAAATCGTAAAACAACTTGTTAGTAATAAATTTTAGACTACCACCGTTTTGACATGTTCCGTATGATTGAAGCCACAATTGTATGCACCACTATCAAATTCTCTTAGAAAGAATAGTTGGGCGTTTCGCCAAAATATGAAGCTACTTACTCAGTTTTACCTTGTTGTTAATTATTAAAAAAAGCTGTTGGGGACTGTAGACTATTCTACTATAATCTATAAACAAAATTCCTTTTTCCAACTGGTAAGAACCAGAAGACAAAGCCCTGACGTGAGACGATTTGGGGCTGCCATGATGGAATTTTCAAATTCAATTTTTTTTTAATTAATGAACTCATTTCTGTTTCCCTATTTATATAGGGGACTCCCTTAATTCTCTCTGGCCACGCACTATTGAAAGTCAGCCCTGCTTAAACCGAAAAGCCTTTATAAAAGTAAAGGACTGTATTTTTCACTACTCACAGGTTATTAGTAAATAGGTAGTAACCATTATGAAAGGATTAAAGGTAAAGAAAATGGGTGTCATAATTTACAAGGTTAAAATATTTTTTTAACTGTATTTAATTTTATGTGCGTGTTCGTTTGTCCCATTTTCAAGCCGACACAAAACAACGAGTTGATGCGATTTTTGTATAGAGATAGATGGCTGGAGAGTAGCACATGCGTATTACGTTTGCTTTTTCATTATGCACCTAGTTATGGATTTTGTTTCGGAAAATATTAAATTAAAAAAAAAAAGGGAAAAAGGCGGCATAGGCTGCCAGCTGTTTTTTTAACTAAATTTAAATTACCAACTGGCGGCACATTCCTGTGGCTTCCAACGAGAAACAAACAATTTATTGACAAACGAATAATATGTTCATTTTATTTTTTATGTTTTGTGATAGAATTGAAACCAAATTCGTTACATTACATAATATAATTATAACTTTTTTCATTATTAGGTTTCGTTATGTTTAAAATAAAACCAATGAATAACGTCTATAATAATTTATAATTATTATAGGTACATTAATAATTATTTCTATAACAAAAATATAAGACTTATGTACAATAATCACAGTTAAGTTTTTAATTCTTGAACTAATTATATTGTATTCTTATATTTTACAAATTTATTGTATAATACAAAAATTGTTGCTAAATTGAGTAGTAATATCATGAACTATTATTTTCGTGTCAAAGTGATTTGGTATCTGGAGGTAGACTTTTTAAGGATTTATTATGTTTTACTTGAGAAGTATAAACATCATACCCTAAAGAAATTGTATTATCATATAACACTCTATATCTTGTTGGTAAAAAATAAAAATTAATAATTTGAGCTGGAGGCCATACCATCCACTCTGCTTTATATAAAGTAACAAATTTGTCTTTTACTTCTTCTTGAAAGTTTTTTAAAGGATCCTTTTCAAATAGTGCTAAACTACCAAAGAATGTTACTATCATAATTGGTGAAAATATGATTTGGTCAAGGAACAACTTTTTTGCTACCATGTCAAAAGTTTTACCTATGATAAATCTATCTAAAACTTTATACCAATGATGACACAATACACCTACTGCGGCCCCAGAAAATGCCATATGCACAGTTCTTTTCTTGTCATATTTATCTTGTTCCTTAGTATAAATTTCATATGTTTGCTCCATTAAATCTCCTAATGATGATAAACTTACTGAAATGGTAACATTTGTATAAAACAAATACTTATCGCTAAAAGCCACTTTCACTACTTGTCTTAGACTAGTAACAGCACCAGATGTATGGACATTCCTGGTTATCCTTCGCCAGGTTATACCCAAAGCTTGCATTTTAAACTTAATCTGCAATAAAAGAAAAATTATTGTAGCAATAATGTTTTATTATGTTCCAATATTTACAAGTTTCTGTTAGAATTTTGGTACATATCATATCTTAGGGATATTATATTGTCAATAACAACTCTGTATTTAGTAAGCAAGTATTAGAAATTAATGATATGTGCTTGAGGCCATACAAGCCATTCTGTTATGTACATCTGTTCATATGTTCTGTATTTCTCTTTAACTTCATTGGTGAAAATTTCAATTCGATTTTCATCAAATATAGCTAGCATTGCAAAAAAAGTAAGTATAATAATATGTGAACAAACAGTCTGATCAATAATAAATTTTTTATCATCATTACAATAGTGCGGCCAGATAGCTTTTTATCCAAACTTATACCAATAGTAACACATGACACCAGCAGTAAGGCCTGAAAGTACCATAATATGAGTTTTATCCTTACAATATCATATTTATAATACTAGTTTTGTTTTATTTTTTTTGTATTATGTCTTCCATCACTGATGTTAAAATAGATATAAGAATATTAATATAAAGCAACTTTTTATTACTAAATAAAATATTTATTATATGTATTTTCATGAATTCTGTAATACTTAAGCTTTTCTAAAAAAATCTTTTAAGAATGATTAATATATTAATTTTGTAAATAATCTTCTGGGTTAAATAATATTATTTTTTTTAATTTATAAGAACAAATATTATATTTGTATAATGTTATTAATTTATTAAAATATTTATTTTATTATCGCAAAATTAGGCGATGATAGATCAAAAATTATTTTTACCATTTTTTGGCCTTGAACAGTGACGTTATCAAACGACGTATTATAATATACAAAAAAGCACCTAGTTTCTACATTATTTAGTTGATTATTTTTTTTAAATAAACTTGGAATACTGTTTTTTGCCTTAATATATAAGCAAAAAGCTTACATAAATGATAAGTAACAAATGCTATTATTATTTAAATTAAAATATGATAAAAAAGTACACTTTTTACTTACATTTTTGAATGAGATGAATTGTTTTATTATTTCAAACCAATTAGTTTGTTTTATATTGGAAGCTATAAAACTTTATACTAAGTTACAGTATATATATTTAATAAATAATCATCATGTATTTTTATTCTTTAAATATATATAATGTATGTTAGGTATAACCTAAAACTATGCACCAATAAATAAAATGATAAGCTGTCAGCTGTGCACACATGACACAGACAGTACTCACGCATGACATAAAATTACAGATTATAGAGAGAACTAAAGCGATAGCCGTCCACTATCGATAACAATATTATAAATGAGAAAATGTGTTTGTTTGTTTGTCTGTCCTTCTTTCACGTCGAAACGGAGTGACGGATTGGCATGATTTTTTCGTGTGAAGATAGTTGGAAGAATGGAGATAGTCCACGAGGAATCGGCGCATGAAAAAATCAAAGGTTTTATTAAAACAATCTGACCTGAATATCAACTGTCATCCTCTTAAACCTAACATAATATACGAGTCCGACCATCGGCATCCATATTCCATCGACTTTGCTCATACACCAGATCGCACGCAATTTAGAATTTCGTTGCACTGTTCGAGACTTGGGACTCGTAAGTAATGGAATAGATTAGATACACAGTTTGGCAAAAGTATACGATTTTACTTTTAAATATTGAAACGATAGTTTTTTTAAATAAAATATTTTAATAAATATCGTCAAATATAATAGGAAATTATAAATAATGCAATATGAAAATGCACATATATATTATAATATTCTTTATTGCACTTTAAAATTAATACAGAAAAAAACAATAAACTTGGTTAATAAAGGACTTATCTCTGAAAGAGATTTCTCCCAGTCCACCTGGATGTGGAAGAAGATGTCAGCGGGCAATGTAGTGCAAGAAAAAAAATACACACATATACATTTAAATAAATAAGAGAACGAACAATTCGCACACCTAGATCTAAAAAGAGCTAATTCAAAAATCTCATCTTTTTAGTTACGCATGCTATAAAATTCCTTAACTTACTAGCTAAAAACCAATAAAACCTATACAAAAATAGTTTCTCAATGCTAGATGACACTAAAACCTCTTTTTTTCTACGAAAGAGCCCGCTCCTCCTCCACCAAAACAGGAACATAGCTAGTTACAGTCAGTATTACAAGCGAAATGCATATGTCCGTCGAAACAAATTAGAGCTATTTTGGGTTGATCCTGTATTGTTGAGGTAAACCTAAAACCAGACCATTGTAAAAACATTATTAGACTTGTCACCATTTTGATGGTTATTGCTAAATTTATTAAAGTAACATTTTAACTTAAACCAGTGATCATAGCAAGGTGAGTAAAGTCAAAGAGTATAGTTATAAATGAGTAAAGTTTTCGTTTTTATTTAGAATTGTTGTTGTATTTTTGAAACATTTTGTAAATTTTAGTTGATTCTTTTTTGTTGAGTTATTTTTTAAACCCTTATATTTCTGTAAAACCCAGATCCCTCACGACCGCGGACACGCCGGCGTTACAGTTAACAATAGATTTCTTAGAAATTTAATTAATTTCTTAGAAATTTACCTGGAGGGGTTAAAATAAACTTATTTACTCGTGGTGCTTGGAGTCTTTCTATCTTAATATTATTTTATTTTTATCTTAGCCATTACAAACAAAGCTTGTTGTGTTTTTAATAAACAATTTTTAAGTTAGAGCTTTTTAGATGGGCTATGCTATATCAAATTTCACTATATCAAAGTTCATCAGATCGCAGATGTAATTAGGTATATCAAATCGATGTGGTGTAACAGATCAGATTTGTTTAATTTCACTTTTTTTTAGAAAAAGAATGAATCATGGACTATTTTTAGTAAATATGGTTGAGCACGGGACACAGAAAATATTGGACTTTGCTTACTGACTCAATATGAAAATACGCAACGAGATACTAGAACTTTATAACAAGAGCTTGAACCAATAATACAGAACAAAACGGTACTAGAAAACAAGCAACAGCAACAAGACGACATAAAGATATCATCAAGCATATCCATGGCTGGTAAATCTAATCCGAGCACATCTAAACAACTGAAGTGACAACCAATCCGAAGTGACGAAAGTGACATTGACGACTCAGATGGAGATCCCAATTTCGGATTTGTTTATAAAAATAAGACATCATCTAAAGTCGTTCTTACTAGTTCATCGTTATCTTCGTCCAGCACCAATAGTAACAGCTCTAGTAGCTCATCAAGTTCTAGTAGTTCGTCAGATACCGAAGATGATAGTGTGCATGTACAACTTGACTCAGAGTATGCAATGGTTTTAAATAAAAGTAACTTATCGGATTTTTTCGTGAATTTATTTTAATTTTTGGTTTCCGACGTTTCGAATGCTTTTCAGCAATCATGGTCAAGGGAGAGAATCAGTCTCTTAGATTTAGATTAGAAGATAGTTTTATTTAAAATGTCAAATATTTGCGTAAATCTAAGAAAGTATTCATGCAATGGTTGCTGAAAAAAATCCTAACAGACAGTGATAGAACGAGAAAAAAAAGTACATAAACCAGAAATATGTAAAAATAAGTGTCAGAGAAAAATATCGGCTACAATGTAAAAATTATATGGATGAACTATCAAGGTAATGGCTTTTTGATGCATTTTAGGGAATTCGGAAATCTTGAAAAGCAGAGAGAATTCGTAGTACCTACGACACTAACAAAACAAAATTAGTTTTTTCTTATGTTATATTTTTAATTATTATTAAAAAATAATGTCTGATTGAGGACTTAATTCAGTGTTTTCTTGCTAGTTCCTAATAATCTTAATCAGCCAATCTACCCTTACTTTTGGTCACAGACCCCTCTAATAGTCAGATTATCCTATATACATTCAAAATGCTGTCCATTTTAAATTTATAATGACTCTTCAAAAGAGAAAAAACTAAACACTAAATTCACCAACACAGGTTCAACTACAAATAACAAAAAATAAACTTACAATTTGTTAAGCAATACAGAAACAACTAAGAAAATCCAATTTTTAGGCCTAATATAGAATTAAAACACAAGATTCCAATAATATCTTTCATCAATTGTTATTTAAAAAACATTAATCAATACAGAAAACTTCTGCAGTGTACAAGGATTCGGTAATCAGTTTTACACCTTTTCTGAAAACGGTGTTTTTTTTTGAGTTAATCGCTGTTTAGATCTATGTGTGCGAATTGTTTTTACTCTTCTGTGTCAAAAGTGTAAAAAGGCAAAGGGTTACATACTCTATGTTCTGTGTCAAAAACTATAGTACCTGCACTCCTTTTTTTGAACTTTGTGGCAGGTACCCTACCCCAGCCTGCAAATTTATGATATTCGCAATGAAAAAAATACTAATCGATAGATTTTTAATAGCTCAATTCAACTACGTAGGCCCTTTCAAATTGCTCACCTTTAATTATTTAATTAAAAATCAATAAAGTCCTTGAAAAAAAAATTCACTTATCTGTATATTCAATATTTCTATATCTTTTGATATATACAATATTTTAAATTGCTCAAAGTTCTAAAATACTGCTCAAGTTGCATTTGTAATTGCTCAAGTAGAGTTCTCACCAGCTCCACTTTCCTTAATTATTAAATAATTAAAAGGATAGTTGTAATAAATGTAACGTAGGTTAAGTGAGCGTGCGCATGCGCACCGCGCATTGTCGGTCGGCCTCGGCGGGCTTGGACAATCGTTCCAATTCAACGTCTTAATTCTGTTTCTCGGTGGATTTCTTTAAATTTATTGAATTTATGAATTGTTCACATTACGTGATTCCACTTCAGATATTATAACATAAAGAACAGATCTGGAATCTACCAATAAATGAAAATTAATACCAACAGATAAATTAAGACAAAATCTTATGTTCAAATGCTTATTCTATTAAGGTAATAGCCATGACAGGGATCATTAGTAAAATGTTATTAACATCAATACAAGACGGAACTTTTTTTATTTTTAAATATACATATAGTTTAATGACATTTTTATTTCAAAGAAACAAACTGCATGAATATAAACTGCCTTTAATATAAAGGCCAGCATTCACCTATCTATACGTTAAATTTATTACAACTATTTATAATTATTTAATAATTAAGGAAAGTGGAGCTGGTAAAAACTCTACTTGAGCAATTACAAATGCAACTTGAGCAGTATTTTAGAACTTTGAGCAATTTGAAATATTGTATACATCAAAAGATATAGACATTTGAATATACAGATAAATTAATTTTTTTTCAAGGACTTTATTGATTTTTAATTAAATAATTAAAGGTGAGCAATTTGAAAGGGCTATGTAGTTAAATTGAGCTATTGAAAATCTATCGATTAGTATTTTTTTCATTGCAAATATCATAAATTTGCAGGCTGGGGTAGGGTAGGTCTTTGTGGCTTATTCTCGACTTTGAATTTATCTCTATTAATTAGTCTGTGATAGCGCTTGACGTATGGTCGGTGTCGACTGTCGACTAGGGATGGAACATTTCACGAGTAGCAAGTGAAAAATCACGTGAAATGCGTAATCATACGTCACACCTGCTACTTAAATTCATAGTGGCTGCTACAAATCACAACTTGGTGAAATCTAGAGCTGTAGCAAACCGTATGTATTCGTTACTGAGTAACGGGTACGCCATCTAGTACCGAGTACCGAAACGTTACTCACGAATGCATTTCGTTACTCGCATTTTCCGTATACATTTTCGTACTGATGTTTTTATTGATTTTTTATTCAACAAAATACAATTTTCAGTTAATACCGTTGATCAGTAAATTGGTGAGTTTATTTATTTCGAGTTGCATGATTTCGGATTCTTAGAAATATTGTTTAGAAATAATTTTAAATTAGAAACAACAATTAAATTTAGAGCACATTTTTAGTTTTTTATCCAACAAATACTTATAATTTTTACTGAATGATTATGTGTAATACGTACAGACATAACCACCAACGCTGAGAACGAGCTAGAAATGTTTATTAATGAACCAGTGCTTCCGCGCGATTCTTCGCCATTAGTTTGGTGGAAATCTCACTCCTATATGTACCCCAATTTGGCGGAAATATTTCATGAGCACTGTCACATCGTGGTGACATCAGTGGAGTGTGAGAGAGTATTTTCAAAAGCAGGAAATTTTGCAACCCAAAAAAGAGCACGATTAAGCAGAAAACGAACAGCGGAACTTGTATTTTTAAAAAGCAATGAAGACTATTGTATATAGATATCTCATAAAAAAATCAATCATCAAAAAAATCAAAAAACAAAAAAAAAGTGTATAAAATTCTTTTATAAAAATTCTTATTGTACATAAAAACAATGAACTTTTAAATACGCCAATGTAATTATGGAACTTAGCTTAATACAATTTTACCGTGTGATTACTCTGATATATTTAAAATTCATTTAATTTTACATTGTCAGTCCCAAGCCTGTAGAAGTATGAGGGAAAGTTCATTGTTTGAAAATAGGTTCATTCAAAGCACCATGTACGTATGCAACTACGTCAGATCTATATCTCTGCTCCATATCACATCAGTAGCGCCATTGGTGACATTTCATACTTCATTTTAATAGCAAATAATATAAAGTGTGACACCAGACCGTCGAAATCAAAAATCTATGCGTGAAAAGTAGCAGGTGAAATCACGTGAAAAATTGTTGTAATTTCATCACGTGATAATGATTTAAAAGTAGCAATCATTTCCATGCTTACTGTCGACTGTGGCTTGACCATAGAGAAATATTGGGCTTGACGCTTCAATTTAATACATTTTATTTGTATAATATATGAATATTATTACTTTATTAAATAATTGTTGAGTATGTCTTAGCGATAAACCAATAGGGCTTACTAATATAACTACTATACTTTATTACAAGAAAAGTATTAAATTATAAAAATGGCAGGTAAGTAATTTTTGTTTATAGAAGATTTAAAATTTAATACTACTTGCTACCTATTACATATCTAAAATTTACTTCAATTGTAAATATTAATAACACTTTAATAAATTTCAGATAAATTAACTCTCGATAAACAAGCTATGAAAGATCCCGCTACAGCCCACCTTCGTATATATGTTGGCGGCTTAACCGACGATGCCAATATTGATGATTTATACAATCACTTTATTGAGTATGGACAAATTGATGGAATAATAATCAACAGAATTTTTGGCTTCGTTCAGTTTCAAGAAGAATCTAGTGCTCAGGAAGCTATTAAGAAAGCAAATGGAAGTGTTTTACAAGGAAGAAAGATAACTGTGAGAACTGCTCAGAGAAACGGACCAAAGTAAGACACATTAATAAAGTTTAATTCTATTAACATATTATTAAATAAGGTTTTAATATATAAAACAAAAGAAATATATAAAGATTATGATAGCAATATTTGTAACTGTGATTGTTTATGCAGCAATGGATTGATGTAATTTATTCCATAAATATAATTTAGTTTATGATCCTTTGCTTTAAGTTCAAATGGAATGTCAGAATATTACTAAAATATTTTTTAAATTCCACAAATATGCATATGTAAGAAAAAAGATGTGATGTATAGTTGAAAAATGAAAGTTCTCTGTAATATATATATGTATATCATTAATCACTATTTTTAACCGACTTCTTCGAATCTTTTTTTTATGTAAGTATTTTCACCGATTACTCAGAAGACGCCTGAACCGATTTGGATTTTTCTCTTGTTTTAAAAGGTATACTTCCTAGGTGGTCCCATTGAAATTTTATCAAAATCGGTCATGCAGTTTTTTAAAAAAATCAACAAAGTTTTTTTTTAAATAAATTGTTTAATTGAATATGTTATTAAAAAACGTTCTTCTTACAAATTACCTGCTTATTACGTCTACACTAAAAATGGAAAAATAAAAACTTAAAAAAACTGACTTCCAGGCACTAAAATGTAAAAAATAACTAATGGGGGTTTTGATTTAGAATACATACCTAATCAGATATTTTCGAAGTCAGTGCCAGCCGTAAATATTTTAAGATTTGAATATCTAATAGTTAAATATGTATTTTACGTATTGAAATATATTAGATTTGCTTTGCATTGGCTGGCACTGACTTTGAAAATATCTAATTAGGTTATTAGGTATTTTACTGTATTATAAAGTTATATATTTACACTACTTAATTTACAAATCCTTTAATACAGACGTGAAACAGAAGTAGTGACTATACAGCCAGATATACCTCCTGCAGTTGCACTAACTGATAACATAATTTCTAATGAAGACACTCTTGAAGACCCATATGACAACTATGGCAATTATGTTACAGAAAGGGAAAGTATGATATTAATATTTGTAATTCTTTTAAGTCTTATGGTTCCATATTTTGAACATAAGAAAATCCAGACAAGGTCGAGTGGGACTCACCCACCGAGGGTTCCATACAAATTTGTCAGAAATCTGTTTTCCTTTAATTTTTAACTTTTTGTATTTTTTGGAATTTCCCTTTATTTGTGCCATAAGATCTTACTTTTTGACAAATTTTGTGTATCTAGATCAACGGGAACTACTATATAGGTTTTAGACCGAAAACTTTTTTTTACTGAATGTATACTGCAATATGTGAACCCACTGCGAGGCTTGGGAGTAAAATAAAATTTGTTGTATTATAATATAAAAAAAATACATCAGTAAATTAAACAATCAAAAATTGTCATATCACAGATTTCAGAGAGGATGAATATGAAGAGGGTTTCAATAACAAGTGGAATGATCGAGAAGGTCGTGGAGGACCTCGAGGGAGGGCTCGTGCCCGCGGTCGTGGAAGGGGCGCCCCTGCCTTTCGAGAACGTTCACCGGGCCGAGGCAAAGGTACAATTATTATATTATAGATAGGAATAGTACTTTTAATATCTGTGTATTCTTAAATATTAGTACCTGATAAAATATTTTACTAACCTGATGAAATATTAGTACTCGTTCTTATGGGAAAAGAAATAAACAAAGTTCTTGGAATCATCTTTAGATAAAATACATACTTAATACAAAATTATAAACACTGGCTAAACCTTAAGAGATACATCAAAACAATGTAATAGAAAATGAAAAGGAGTAGGTGGTGGGCTCTGTTGTATCAGTTGGCTACGGCCAAATGGGTTAAGCCTGGATTTAACATCTCTACCGTGGCAAATACGACTTATAGAAGCAAATCTCGTGCATACTTGTAGTTTACAATAGAAGAAGATGCACTTGTGGCACACTTTTATTACTTACACCTCGAAAATAATTATAATATTGTTCATAATTATTAAGCACAGCAAGAAATGCATTCTTAAACTTCCAAGTATAAGTAGTGTAATTGAAGCATCATATATTTTTAGGTGGAGAATGGCCAGAGAGAAACTACGATCGGTATCCACAACCGGATTACCCAAGGGCTTTACCAGTTCCAGAAAGAAATGACTGTGAGATTATCGTAGTTTCAAAAGCACTCACGTGAGTATTACTTGTAGATATGAAATTCATTTTAGTACACTATAATTACTACAAATATATATACAAATTATAATTTTTGATCATTGTTTTTTCTATTTTCATTCCTTGTTTCTCAAATTAATTATTATTTTTCCAGTGAATATGCAGAATATATAGAAGGAAGACTGAAAAGGCTAGGAATAGTAGTTGATTTACTATTCCCCATGGAGGATGTTCCCATAGGGAAAGTTCTAGGCAACATAGCATCCCGAGGCTGTTTATATGCTATACTGGTGATGCCTTTGAATTTGGAAAACAGATCATTGACCCTGACCATTCTTCATGGTTTACCGCAAGGTGAAACAATATTTTAATTTCTCCCCTTTAATATTTTCTTCATATTGTGTACATTTTTTCTTCATCTATTACAATAGTCAGTTCATAAAATATATCCTTTCAAAACCAAAAATAATAGTATATTTTTAAAAATAAAACAAACATACTGATTAATTATTATTATATTCATGCTTTGAGAAATATGTTTAAGCTACCTTATCTGGGTATTATGAAATTATAATATACCAGCATTGCCCGCGGCTCCGCCCGTGTTCAGATGACTAAAAACCAAATTCTTAGGTTTTACATATTAGTATAATCTTACATTGTAGTTTTTGTATTTTTTCTCAGAAATGAGATATTTTCCTGTGGTAAAAAGTATCCCATATGTTGACCCGGATAACCAGCTAATACCATACCAAATTTCATCAAAATCCCTCTAGTAGTTTTTCTGTGATGCGGTAACAGACAGACAGATAAACAAAAATTCTAAAAACTATAGATTCGGCCTCTGTATCGATAATAATGTCCATTTCAATAAGATTTCCCAAAAAATATTTAATGTACAGATTAGACTTAGTAAGAAGTTTAGTAGTAGTATAGTTTAGATTTTATTTATACTTACAACGGTTCTTAGATGGTTTGACAAAGTCACAATCAGTTATTATCAACACCATAAAATAATCAAACCGCTTAACCCTTACTCTTAGAGCACCGCAACATGCCATTGGAAGACGCCCTACAATTACTGTCACGTAATTTCCAAGAGGTACAAAGAGGAGGGCCGTCAGGTCGCGAGGCCGTGTATGCGTTGCTCGGGCAGCTGGCGGACGGCCGTAGTCTCACTGTGCTACAGTATGACAAGGTCATTGAGTATTTACAGGTATGTATTAGATACTAGTTATAACTAAAACAAATCTATCCCACGGGAACCGTATATTTTTCCGGGATAAAAAGTAGCCTATATGTTATTCTGAAGTATGAGCTATATTATTGCAAAGTTTCATTAATATCCATTCAGTACTTTTTGCATACATACATACTCACAAACTTTCACATTTATAATATTAGTATCGATTTTTGTTTTTTTTTTTAATTTAAATTATGTTCGTTTGATAACTGTTAATTAATTAGGACGACTAGTTGCGTAACCGGTTGGAACCTCATTTTAAGATTTTATGTTTGAATATTTTCCCTAAAATTGGACTTCGATTGTAAATGGGAAACTTTGTCTGTATGATTGTTATTTCTTTACGCTGAGACGGCCAGATGGATTTGAACGGAATTTAGTACAGACTTCATAGGCTGATTCTGTGACTATATTCTAGGACATCCAGGACTAATATATAGGCTACTTGTAGGCACCTAGTGACGCACCCAAGCGAAGCGTGGGTGAGTCGCTAATAAACTTAAAATTTTGAAAAAGGAAGTAATGTAATATATTTGTGTCCTTTTAAGATCACGCGCAAAATACTACGTCAAACTATAAACACAGTGTTATCATGTTAGCTAATAAACTTGTATGGTTACAAAATTTGCAAATTTACAGGAACGCCGAGAGCAACAGGTTAAGTTAGAATTAGGGGAGCCACTAACCACATCTAACACTAAGACTCAAGTGGATCTCCAGCAAAGAATATTAAGTATTCTGAATGATAAAAAACCCTTAGTAAATGAACCGCCTCCTGCGCCACCAGTAGCGACTCCGCCAGTGAAGGAACCGCAAAACAAACTCCTCAACGACCCAACTGTCAGAAAAGCATTAGACTCCATATTGCAAAAGTTTATATAATTACTGATAATAAATATTCTGTCATATAATAGTCGTTTTTATTTACAAAATTTAATTAAGTTTTCATGAAATATTGTGTAAGCGTGTTGTAAGTTGTGACCAATCAATACCTCTTCTTTTGTGTGCTTTAACAAAATCCTAACAGAGTCGAATCTGTACATTATACATATACTACTACTGTACAATATTATTTGGAAAATCTTATTGAAATAGTCATTATTATCAAAACAGAGGCCAAATCTATAGTTTTTTCAGAACTTTTGTCCAGAAAAACCACAGGACATTTTGATGAAATTTGGTATGATGATAGCTGGTTATCCGGCTCAACATAATATAGGATACTTTTTACCGCGGGAAAATCTTATCTCGAAAATATTTCACAACCTATTAATGACGCACCGAGGCAATTACGAAATAATTGCGTTCGTTTGATCCCTTGCTGTATTGTTATTAATAACTTTAATTATGTAATTTATATGTAGGATATTTAAGTTTTTATTATAGTATATAAATCATACACTTTAGAAACACGATAACTTGTAGTTTCCTCGAAAAAAAAAATCCGAAATGATCTCTAAAAATCAAAATAAACCCTTAGTGCGGCGTAAATAATTCAAGGAAGTTCATCAGTTTTTTAATAATAACAAAATTATACGTTTTCTATATCCTATATACTTTACATTTTCAAAATGTGTATTTGTTTTACTAATACAAAGGAAATACCTAAATTCGCACGCGTTCCGTCCATCCTGGCCACATCCCCCCCTGCCTGCTGTCGTCCTACTAAAAAAGCTTGATGCCCTCTTAATTACATTAGAAAATGTTTAATATGATTAATTCAGTTAATTAAGATGACATTTCCTAATGCGCCTACCTAACAATAAAATAATTATTATAAAGACCAGGTAATTTAAGTCATTAAAATAAAAACATTAATTATTACGTAATTCTGTCTAAATAACTATACAAGTTTTCGCAAAACATGCGAAATCCACCAACCCGCATTTGGCCCGTATGGTGGACTATATGACCAGATCGCCCACCAGATGTATCAAAGGGGGCCTCCCTTTTACGTGCGTGTCCAACAGTTGGACGTTAAAAAAACTTCTGCAGAATACAAATATACTCTCAAAATAAAACACAATATAGTTTAATATAATTTTTATAAGTTCACATATATCAGGGGTGTAAGTCTTTACAGAGCTAGCAGTTGATTGGTGATTCAAAGACAAACAAGTATTTTATTATTACATAAACGCCACAAATAATTTCATAAACATACTATGAACTAAGATTTGTTAACTGTACACATTTATTTTCGATTTCTTTTTATTATTAACTGTATATTATGTTATATTGAAAATCGATATTTCAATGGAACATCATTTATTATCTTACTTTTTACAACCTTTTATTAGTTAAAACCGTTTACGACGACATCGTTTAGAACAACATACCGGTTATATTGACCAAAGTCATAGGTCCCGGCTGAATGCTATGCGACCGCCTTATAAAAAATACAGCTTTTTAAGACATTGCTCACTACGACATACATACTTTATTAAGCGATTATATTTAACTAATATCTTTGAATTTGGAGAATTATATCTGTTAGAACGACCAGCTGTATTGTAAACAATTCCGATAGGTAACATTATACACACCTGACACGGTATAATAGTCAATGGCTATATAATGGCTATAATAAGATTGCAAAGGTAAACAAAAATTGTGCCGAGTTTAGGCCCTCAGGGTAATTTTTTTTGTAATTATCAGAAATAAAATACATGTGCATAGAATAAAATCAAAGTCCGCTTTCTCATCTCTCTTCAGTCAGTTTGTTACTTATCTGCACATAAGACGCACCAAAAGATATTGTTGAGTAATTTGTGAAACTTTTAACATGTCGCAAAAAAAGAAAATAATAAATTAAATCAAAGAAAAATCCCATAATTTGCGACCTGCTTTATCTACCATTCAAGCAGAAGAGTTTATTGATGTAGACAACTTTATTGCAATTTGTGCACCAGCTACTTGAAGACAGATACTGTACAAGAAGTTCAAAGGGAGAATTATGAACAGAAAGAGACTGGAGAAGAATTTACAGTGCCGACTTTGAATGATGGTCTCAATGCTGTTAATTTGTTGTGCTGTTAATGTTCTTCTTAATGAACAGTTTCACATGCAGAGAATTTACTGACGATACACTAATTAAAACCAATCGTGAACTAGAAAATTCGTACACATGATAGAAGTGTTCCAAACAGACTAAAATTATAGATTTTATAAATACAGGAAAATGATAATATTCTTTAAAATTACATATTTTATGTCAAAAAATAAATATAGTTATATATTAATATCTATGGATTTATTTGTACCTACATACACATTCAAACACCACCGGTTGCTACAACTATCAGTTATTACGACCAAATATGATTAGTCGCTTCGATGTCGTTATAACAGATTTTGACTGTATCACAAAAGAGTTCCGCATACATAAAATCGATTTCTATTCGAATGTTGAATGTACAAAGAACTTTTATAATATAAAATTCATTACTAAAAATCTATGATAATGAAACACCGCCAGCGGTTCTCTTGTCGGAGTCTTTATAAGCAAAATTGAAAATTTAGTTTCTATTGAAAACAAACTATGGACATTTTATATCACAAATAACGATACGGGTAAATCGCAGTCAATATTATAAATTTTCATATGATTAAACACCACAATGAGATCAAAGCCCTGTGTGTTTTAGGTCTTTCAAAAGCATAATTTTTTAGTTATATTCTAGGGTTACTTTCTATACAAGATATATATATATAGCTACTTACTCTATATAGACAAGTCCACATACGCCCTTACCACTACAGCAACTAAATGCGTTCACACACCGGTCGATCTCCATAAAGCTATATTTGGAAGATTTGGTGTCAATTCGGAGTTCGAAGGTGGTCGCGTTATTTACAGAGGAAATCAGTCACGTGACTATTACGCCCACGAAAGTGGGTGAATCAGTTATAACCTCAAAATTATTAGGACGATCTCTCGGGGGTGTCTTCCTGTTTTGAGGGGTCAAAACCTTCTTTTATATGTCCACCTGTACCTTTGGGATCCAAGTCGGTGGCCCAACTGAAGTGCATCAGAGCGAGATGTGAGTTACCCAGTTTATTGTGTACCTTTCCCAATAAATAGTATACTAAAGATTCTCTAGGAGCAATATCTTTCAAATGGTGTAGATCAGTGAGAGCGTCCTGTGGCCTGCCGGCGCGGAGTAATAGCGATGCTCTGTGAAAGCGACAGAGGGGATTCTCCGTGTCTAAAGCGACTGCTCTCTCTAGAGTAGCGATTGCTCGATCCATTTTGCCCAAGGCCGCCTGTGCTAGACCGAGTTGGCATCGCAACACGCCCGAGTGCGGATGTATCGCCAATGCCCGACGGATATGAACCTCCGACGCTTTCCAACGCTCTTGGCGCGCGTAAACCGTCGCAATTCCGAACCAAGCTACATAATTCCTAGGATCAATACTAACAGCTGTTCTAAAGCTGGAAAGTGCTTTATCAGTCTCTTCTGCCACGGCATATTCGTGGCCTAGCAAAGCGTGCGCATATGCTGCGTCTGGGTCTATTTGTACAGCTCGTTTGAAAAATTTCAAAGCAGTTTCCCGCTCTTTATGTAATGAAAAACAGTTGCCTGCCGCCAGCCACGCTGTTGAATCGTTTCTGTTTAGTTCTACTAGTTCTTGGGCTAATGCTGATAATTGAGCTTCACGTTGCAAGTGCCAAAGACATGTACTATAAATGTCCATGCCTTCCGTGCGATTTGGGTAGTTTTTCCTAATATCTGAGAATATTTTAGTAGCGGCTTCGTACTGCGCCAGTTCGTAATGCGCACGAGCTATCATGGTCTGGACCCAGGGCGACGCGAGTTGCTTTGGAGGTATCTCTTGAAATAGTTTTATAGCTGTTTTACAGTCTAAGAAAGATAATGATTTATAAGCCTCTCCTAATTCCTTTAGTAAATTTAATAGTGCTACACCGTTGGTATTCTTTGGCGTTAAGGTAGGAGTTATTGTTTCTATACTTTTATTTCTTTCACTGGATTCAGTGTTACTTTTGATATTTTTGGCTGTGCGTTGTTTATTTTTCCTAGACGGGCTTTTAGGCGCGACGAACTTACGACTTGGAGACTTATTGTTTTCTTTAACTGAATAACTACTATTGTTATTACTAAACAACCTAGAAGATCTCCGAGGTGCAGGTCCCAATGTACACCGTGGTCCTGGACTAAATACTGCATCTTTTAGTTGACTGACATGTGCTCTTAATGAGTTAACTATATTCGGTAGAGCTTTTTGTTCATTGGCATCCGTTAAGGTTGGAGTATATAAAATAGGAGATTCTTCCATAGGTAACATGCCGAACGAGGGAGAAGCTGGAATAGGGACTATCCCACTAAATACACTATACATTCTCTTAACATTTGGGGCTTGAACATCTGGTGTGATGCTTGTAGACATATTCATAGGTGTTCGGGCAACATTATTAGGCGTCACATTTGTATTAATAGTATTGTTAGGATATTTACTATTTACAAATGAAATATTTTCTGAATTGCTGACTAGATTCACTAATGTGGAAACACCAAATGTAAATTCAGTGTTGTTAATTTGGAATACATTATGAGGATCGACTTTTTCACCCATGTTGCATAGTAAGGCAAATGATTTCCACATAAATGGATTCATAGACAGTGCTTTCCGGAGAGCCTCAGCAGCTTTACTTCTCCTCTCTGTAATGTTGTAAATTTTTGCAAGCAACTGTAATGCATATGGGGCTTGTTCACCAAATTCAGAAGCTACAATATCTAAATTGGTTCCTAATGCAATTTCAGCATCTTTGTATCTGAAATGAAATAAAACAAATATGAAAATTTTCCTCATTATAAAATATTCATGAGAGTGTGCATGTAGGATATATGTAATATAGTGATAGGAAATTATTACATACAAACTTAACAGACACAAAGATATATAAGCAATGAAAAAAAACCATGCCAATTACATTTATAATTAACATTAGATTCCTAGCCAAATCAAATTTATTACAGTAAAAAAGTGACATTTTTTTCAAGTTTCTCTTAAATATATTCACATTTATGAATTGTATAAAAGTATTATATTTAATTATAAATGCTAACACAGAAATATGTCACAAATCAAGGTAATCATTTAGTTTGTAATTATAAAAACATTTACTTTTTTTTGAAATATATGTGAGCCCATGCTTGAGGTATCAACCTAATTTCAATTTAATAAAAATATTATTATGTAGTTTGATTCGCAAATCGGAAGGATATCGCTTAATATACCCACAAAAATGGGCAGCACTTTAGTGTATGGGATGCAGCCTCTCGAGTGGGTGGTATTTTTGGATAGGAGAGAGAGGTGATAGGGACTCATGAAGGAGGGGGAGTAATGAGTCGAGAAGGATAAGCCGTCTCATTAGGTCTTTATTATTTTCAACCTAGAACCCCAGTATTATAAATGCTGTTATTTTTAAATAAAACTATCTAGAGAGAGAGAGTCTCTCCGTGACCATGGATGTTGTAAAGCATTCGAAACGTCGGGAACCAAAAATCAAAATAAATCCGCGAAATAATCCGAAAAGATAGTTTTATTAAAAAATGTCAAACATTCGTGTAGATCTAAGAAAGTATTAAGTGCTGTTATTTCAAATTTGGGGACTGACAGTTTCGACTCGAAAATTATAGGTGTCAGGCAGTATCAATTCAATTCTTATGACTTACAGGAGTGCCGTTTGGGCACCATTTACATCAGACAGTATCAGAAGAATAATTAGAAGTGTCAAAATGACAGCAAATGTATGTCATAATAATGTATGGAAATATTGTAACTATTGATGTAATGTTTTCTGGCTTATTTATGTTGCAAAGGCCTTATAAGTAAATCAAGGCTAAAGATTTTGTTTCTCAATTTGTTAATATCAAATCTCTGAAACTAAATCACATTTTGAAAGATAGTTGTAAGCTATCTTAAATCATGCTACAAACCTTACAAACGATTAAAAAAACTCCGTGGACGGAGCCGCGGGAGAACTTTAGTATATTATTATATAAATTAGCAAAATTATAATTTTTTAATACAAAAACTTTACTTTTTATTAGACCTTATATAAATTGTGATTTTGTAAAATAACTTACGATTTAAGATCAACTGAGCATTTTGCTAAGAGAAATCTTGCTTGTGGTAAAGTTAAAGATATATTTTGTAGTAAATGATGAGTTTCATTCACACGTCCAGCTCTATAATAACATGTTCCTAAAAGAAATGCCGTCTCCTCAGAGGAAACTAAAACAAAACAAAGAGAGATATTGATTAAGTAAATGACATTACCTTGTAGCAACCAAATTAAAATTTCATGCAACAAATTCAATCAATAATAATTCATTTTCAGAGTGTAAGATTTTTCGAAAAAAACATTAAATCTCTTACCTTCAGCATGTAATCTTTCGGCCAGAAATATAGCATTATCATATTCATAATTATTGAGACAATCCCAAACGATAACCTGCACAAATTCAAACGGTTTGATATGAGAAATTACTTACAATGCAAATACCTTGACAGAAATAGAAAATATTTTCAATCACCCACCTGTATAGGCTCTTGGACAATCATTTTTTACTAAGTATATACTTTAAAGAAATTAAATACTATAAAATATTACTCATATCTAGTTGCAAACATTACACAGACACAAATTAAAATAAAAACGTTTCTTTTACGACGGACATTTTCATTTCAGTTTGTTGATTGTCTATGGGCGGATGATTGTTGTTACGAAAGCGATGGTTCGCTCAATAAGTATTTTGTTCAAAATTGTTGCCATTTTACACAGGTTATGATAAAATAAATAAATATTAACCGTTTTATACAACATCGTTGCACGTAAATGTCTTATTAATTTTCTTCAACAAGTGATCATCGGTTGAAGGTACAATAAACTCAATGCACGTTATGACAAGTATTGGAGTTAAATAATATCGTAATTCCTTAATCCCTCCCTAAACCAAATAAAATAAATAAAAGATTTTTAATTGTTATATTATATAAACAATCTAGTATAATTTATTTTGATACAGTTTTTGCATATTTTTGAATTTAAATTAAAAATTGTCTATGGCAATATTGATAGAAACTATATTTTATATTACCTATGGCTATTGTTTATCATTTTTGTTTAATCTGTATTAAGTATTTTAGATTAGCAAATAGCGAACGAGTCGTCATCATTACGAGACAAAGTGAAAAGAAAATAAAATTAAAAAGATATGAAACAAATACTTAGACGCATTTAATATTTGCTCTGTTTATTTATATTAGTGAATGTTTATATGTAATGTTTACAAAGTTATTGTGTGGCTTTTGATGTGAATAAAATCGATGAGATCGTGTGTTCAGTATTTCAGACAATATGTGCAGTGTTGATTACGATTGACATCTGACGTGAAACAAAAGGAAAACGAAGCTGAAGAACTATAAGCATATTAAGGTAAACCTTGTTGACGTTATATAGTGATATCATTATTGAATTTCCCAAAAATACAATTAATCATGCATTTAAGTGTATGTTTAACATCATCGCCCTTCACTGAGCCTTGCATTTTTTAATACAAACAAGAAAATGTCAAGACTTAAGTGACCTCCAATTTGAAACATCCGTTTTTGTTTTGAGTCCTGATAAAATGTAAAAATTGATTTTAAAAGCCACGGATGATCGCGATGTTTAATGTATCGTAGCTTACCAGCTGAATTGTTCTACTTGTCATGTAGGTGAAATTGAATGGTGTTTGCACATATTAATAATACCTATGTCGTTTATTTTTTATACAATCTATTGATTTTTTTTATATTTACATACTTCTATAAGAAAATTGGACATATGTCATATGATTTATATTTGTTAAATCAGCTGTTTCTAGATAATAATTGTGTAGTAAAATTACTTAGAATAATTTAAATTGTGTCTATATTCTTAAATTTTTATTATCATATAGGGAAAGTAAACCTTATTACAAAAATATCATCAATTTGGTAAGAAAATCTAATTTCTTTTGATGATTACATTTGATCTGAAATTCAAGGCCATAGTGGTATTACTGTCAACTGCCATTCACTGCACTACAAACCTATTAACAGTTAATGCTAATGATTTGTATATAACCTTATAAAACCCTACACTAAACTTTAAAAATTAAAATATAAATTGCCTAAATGATATTTTGAAATATTTTTTGTATATTACAATTGGTTGCACTATTTTACAAAAACAATGAATGTAATTCTTTAAACAGGATATTTTGAGCACAATTTCTTACCAATTCTAATAACTATCTACATTTTGAGTATTCATTATGAATTTGATTAATATATACAATTATTTAATTAAGATTAATTAATGTTTAAGCATATTACATACATATATGTAACATAAAAATAATGTTGTAAAATAATATGAATTTTAATCTCTTCTTCTTAGGATGAGTTCTGATACAATTAATGTGACAGCACAACCAATCTCGGATACAACTCACGAGATGCTGACGTCTGTGTTTTTGGAGACCCGCTCTGCCCAAGTTATTGCAGGCATATTTGTGTGGACAGCATTATTTATTACTTGCCAACAGGTATAGTTGTTCCCTCTAGTTAATTTTTTTATCTCTTATTAGATAGATTGAAATCCAGTATATATATGTATATCTCTTATTGATTTTAATTGTTGTAGTAAATATATTTGTAGTGTAATAGATAATGCATAACATTTTTTTCCTTGCTTTGTAAAATATAACTGTTTTTTTTAATTATATGTTTTTTTTTACTAATCATGCCTCAAAGACAAGCCATTTTAAAATTTGAAAGAAAATCAGATAGAAGAGTTCACACCATAAATTAGTACAAGAATTGTGAAGAGAAAATCCCTTTAGGCATAGCATACAAACCTCAAAATTATAACCAAAAGTCTTAATTATGTATATTTTTGTTTATGAAATATTAGTATTACAAATATATAAATAACTAGCGACTCACCCTCTCTTCCCTTGTGTTCGTCAATAGCTTAATTCCCCATACAAACTTTCATCCCCATTTTCAGCCCCTTAAGGGATAATTTCCAGGATAAAAAGTATCCTATGTCCTTCCTAGGGTGTCAAACTATCTTCTTACTAAATTTCATCTAAATTGGTTCAGTAGATCCGGAGAACCCATACAATGTCACAAACTCACAAACTTTACCTCTATAGTATTAGTATAGATATAAATTTTGTAATTCTTAGAAGCACCAAACTAGTTTATATAGTACACACCCCAAAATATATGTATAAACAAGTTTCATACTTTACACATCATACAACATCCATACTTTACTAATATGTACTATAAATGCGAAATTAACTGTCTGTCTGTCTGTTACGTTTTCACGACTAAACTACTGATCCAATTTTGATGAAGTTTGGTACAGGGAGGAATGTGACCTTGAAGAAGGACATAGGATACTTTTTGAAAAATGAAACTTGAAGTAAGTGAAATAGGGTTTGAAAGTTTGTATAGGGAACAAATCATTTCTCAAGTTAAGGACAAAAAATTTATTATATCCTATAATTTTGGTAAGATATAAACATGTGTATACTCTACCTATTTCATACTGTTAAAACGTACCTAGGAACGAACTCGAGCAAAGCGAGAGTTTGTCGGTAATTTATTAATTATAAAATAAGTCTTACTTCAGTCTATAAATGCAAGTCCTACTTGTTTGATGTTTATTAGTTGTTTTTCGCAAAAAAAAAATCATCCAGATAAAGTCACAATATAAATTAAAATTCCGCCTTTTGTAAACATTTGATACTTCTATTTAGATAAATATTTTATATTTACTATCATTGAAGCAAACAACAGCTTGGAATTTTGTTATTGTCTGTATGTTATGGGACTAGGTATATTGTGAACAATAGTCTACTAACGGCATATTAAGGTCATATCTCGGAGACGGTAATGGACCGCAATGTAGGAAATGCGTTGCATATATTATTACCCACTCAGTTATAAAATCGTCGGCCTATTTGTACATCCGTTTATTTGTTTATTCTGGATTTAATTTTGAAATCAAATAATATATATCATCTTATATCATTTGAAGTTTTATTACACAGATGATTTTACTTGTTGCTATTTTATGTAGGAGTCAAGGAAGCGAATGAGTACATAGTTTAAACTTTTCTAACTTTTCTTTCTTTTTTTTTAGTACAATTTTATATATTTTATTTTCAGTTTTCAGATTTTACTTTTAAGTGAAACTAGTAAGCTTAGATTACATATTATTTTACATAAGAGTAACTTCTTTTACCCAAGAACTCGTGTCGGCAATTACGTTTGTTGTTAATTATAATTTATAATGTAGGTACGCTCCGGTTTACATTTTTGTATACTTTGTTGTCGGAGATGCTTCTATTTAATGTTTATTACCCACTTTGCCTAACGGGCACAGGTTCTAATGTTACGAAGTTTCGCCGTACTCGGTGAAAGTAAATCTGCCAAAGATGGTGATCTCACTAGATATGGCGAGCTAATGAGGTTTTCACATTTATAGATTTTGTCACGTTTCCTGACCTACCTATATGAAACTATTGCGAAATATGTTATATCTGTAATACTTGATAAACATTACATTACCTTTTAAAAGTAGAATTTTCAACTATAATCATTTAAAATAACACATAAAATTTTTTGACATTTAATTGATTTCAGCAAAACCGGATTTGATATACCTAAAACATATCCATAATTTAAATATCATTTGCTTATATCGAAATAATATCATATTCTTGTTATACCAAAACAAACAAACAAAAAATAAAAAACTTACTTTTTTATTGGTCTGAGGAGCAGACGCTCGCGCTAAACCTACAAAAAAAAAACAACTCTAAAATGGTAGCTTTCATACAAACTTTCATCCGCTATTTTATCCCCTTAAGGGATGAATTTCGGAAAATGCTAAAACACGTATTTAATTAATTGTACTGAAGAGCATTTAAGTATACCATGTTTCGAGTAATTCTTATCATAAATATTTTTTTTGGATTGTATTATAACATGTTTTTCCTTGGGAAAGAGATAATTAATTAACTAAGGTAAAAAGTAGCTTATGTCACTCTCCAGCCCTCCAACTATCTCCACACAAAAAAATCACGCCAATCCGCCAAGCCGTTTCGACGTGAAAGAAAGACAAACAAACACACTTTCACATTTATAATATTAGTATGGATTTATATACAAACAAAAAATATATGTTTTCAATGTTTATATTAGCGCTGGGGAACTCTCAATATCGATTTATTTAAAGTGAAAACCTACGCAACTAACTACGGAAATAAGAATAGGTATCTCTGAGAATATTCCAGATTGTTTATATTTTGCACTTGTTGCCATAATATCCTTAATGCCAGCTGTCGCGACAACTACTTGAAAACTAGCAACTAGTGAAGGTCGTTCACAGATTCGAATAATATATTGCGTAAAATTAAAACCTTGTCGCTATATTAGGACAAATAGATTTAAAACATTAAAATATCTTATCTTTAACGATGGCATATAATAATATAAAGATAACAAATCGTTTGAGTCATAGGTACACATTATTCGTCATTCAACATTCTAAGTATTTACATTTTTTTTATAATTAGACTATACTTGTTATAAACGTGAACGTTTTTCTGTGTGTATCGTATGCGTGTTGTTGCTTCTTCACGCTAAAATGGCGGGACCGAATCGGCACGCTAATACTCTAGTTAGTGCCTATGTAATAAAATATTAACGTAACGTGGTTATACCATTAATATTATAACATGCGAAAGTATGATGGAAGGATGTTTGTTAGTCAATCACGCCAGAACGTTTTTCCCCAACATCACAAACATTTCCCCTCTCTTATGAATAAAATACAGAATTTTAATACCTAGTGCAAATGTATTGGCGTAAATATGGAAGAAATAACAATATAGCAAACGTGTCAAGGACACGCACGATCGCATCGCATAATAAACTTTTACCTACTAAAAATTGCCTTGGTTTCGCTACATATATAATATGTGCATAGTGGTATTTTGATTCATTTTCACACGCTCTAGACTTGTACTATCTGATAGTGTTTGCCTGATAAGCCGTAATTATACCTATAATGGCACGTAAAACATACAATATAATATATTCAATAAATAGATTGAATCTATACATACATATAATAAAAGTGTAACTGATCGCTGTCTGTACATGAAAAATATTTAAGAAAAAAGATTATTGGGGGTACTTAATTACGCAATAAAACCCAAAACAATGATTTTTAGAATTTTTGTCTGTTTGTGCGTTGGTACGCGTTAATCTGAAAAACGGCTTCAGGTGTGGTTTTCACTAATGTATTGTGATAAGCTTCACCTAACATTTAATATTTATTTTATTTCAATCGGTTTATAAATAAAAATAGTAAGGTCTATTTAAAGAATCATTTAGGAGCGAACCCGAGCGAAGCGGGAGTGAGTCGCTAGTGTATATTAATTAATATTGTATTCGTAGAACAAAAATTTGCCTTTGCTGGTATTAGGTCATATTATAGTGTAAATAAATGGTTTTCAATGTTTATTTTGAAAGTATTAACGGATTGCCTGGCTAGTTAATTCCAAAGTGCTGCACTGTGGACCGAAAATAAATGTTGTAGGAATGTTAGTGTTCTTCTACGTATGAAGAATCGATGCGATGCAAGGCCGTCTGGAATGTTCTGGGGTTGGAAGACACTTACATTATATGCTTATAAATTAATTATTAATCTATACATATAATAAAATTGTAACTAAGCCGAATCTGCACATTAAATATTTTTTGGATAATCTTATTGAAACAAACATTATTATCGATACAGAGGCCGAATCTATAGTTTTTAAAAATTTTCTGTCTCTCTGTCTGTCTGTCTGTCTGTCTGTCTGTCTGTCTGTCTGTCTGTCTGTCCCTCTGTCCGTCTGTCCGTCCGTCCGTCTGTCCGTCTGTTACCGCATCACAGAAAAACCGCTGGAGGGATTTTGATGAAATTTGGTATGATGATAGCTGGTTATCCGGGTAAACATATAGGATACTTTTTACCGCGGGAAAATATCTCATTTCTGAGAAAAAATACAAAAATGCATTGTAAGAGTACACTAATATGTAAAACCTAAGAATTTGGTTTTTGGTCATCTGAGCCGCGGGCAATGCTAGTTTGCAATAAAGTCAAAGGGTCTTTTTTCCACTCATTTTATCTTCTAAAACTTAATACTTGTTACGATGTTTTCACGCAGATGAAGTCACAGAGGCAAATTGTAGTTCTCATCACACTTTTTTATAAATAACTGTTCAATTAATGCTATAATCATTAATAACAGTTAAATAAAAATAATTATTCTTTTAATTGATTCGAAACAATATAACTACGTCAATGTTTACAATTGCTATCAATCGAAATAGAATAACTAATTAAAATAATGTAGTAGATGCATGAATATTGTTTCTTGTGCATTGCAGATATACCAACACCTTCGCTGGTACACGAACCCATCGGAGCAGCGCTGGATAGTGCGCATATTGTTTATCGTACCCATCTATGGCTGCTACAGTTGGATCTCTCTATTATTTTTCAATGGCAATTCTTATTATGTTTATTTCTTCACAGTAAGGGACTGCTATGAAGGTAAATTACAATAAGTTATTCAATATAATAAATATAATATTCGAGCGCTTTCATTCGATATGATTATGTAAAAAATTTACAAGAATAAATTGAAACTTATTTACCAAGAAACATTTCGTCAGCTTATATCATACGACAATTTTTATTAACAATATGCGGACGTCGGAATCTGACTAAACCGGTTTTGTATGCATTCAGTGCTTAAAATTATTGCTTGATATCTTAATATTTTTTTATAAAAATGGACACGTCCTCAAAAATGCTTAGTATGCTTTTTCCAAACGGAAAGTTAAGTTTAAGTGAAATTTAAAGATATTGTTATTGTATTTATGTTGCACATATATTTCTTATTTAAAATGATTTTATATAAGTTTAAGTATACTAGGCAAGAATACCTAAAGAATAATATTTAAACATAATTTTGCTCCCTAATGGATAGCATTATACAATATTTAGTTATATTTTATATTCTTATAAGACTTGACTGACTTAGGTGAGGATTTGTTCTCGCGACCATTCACAAATTCATTCAGGAAATTCAGAAAAGTATTCGAAACGTCGTGAACCAAAAATTAAGCTAAACCCGCGTAAGAATTAAAAAAATGTTATATTTAAAATGTCAAATATTAGAAATTTACGAAAAATTAAGAATCTTATCAAATTAATGACACGTGTGATGCCCACAGCCTTCGTGATATATAGCTTTCTGTCGCTATGCTACGAATACTTGGGCGGGGAAGGGAACATAATGTCGGAGCTGCGCGGGCGGCCGGTGCGCGCCTCGTGCGTCAACGGCACGTGCTGCCTCTCCGGTGCGACCTACACTATCGGCTTCTTGAGGTTCTGCAAACAAGCGACCCTACAGTTTTGCCTCATCAAGCCTGTGTGCGCCTTCATTATTATATTCTTACAGGTATGTATGAACCAAGTATATATCTATTACAAGAATTTAACTATCCAAGTACATAAATAACAACTCACCCACGCTTTGCTCTGGTGTGTTTCTACATGTATCATACAGACATACAGATCATCATCTTTGAACTTAACATTTAAATCCGTCCAGCCGTTCAGCGTGACCCAGCAACAAAAATATACACACATACTGTCTTTCGCATTACATTAGCAGTCCGGTATATCCGGTCCGGTACATCAGAAACTCTCGTTTGGATTTTTTGGTGATCTTTTCTGTACAACATTACATATATACATATGTTATGTATGCTTTAAGATTTATAACGCACGGTAGCTTTTGTATAAATCCTTACTTAATATTATAACTGCTAAAATATGTTTGTTGGGTTGTCATTTAATGTTCATGAGTGTAGCAATGAAAAATGTTAATTTTTGATATGCTTAATTTATGGTTTGCTTGCAAAAAGCAATATACTTTTGAAGGCTAGGTTGAAGGCGGCCCGTCGCTAGTTTCATATAAACGGAAATAATTTATTTTTATCGCTATATGTATACTTGCATCATCGAGGTTGTAATAGGGTATTTCACACTTATTGATTCATACATTGTTGATTCATATTTACTGATGATTAAAGAACAAGGCCTAGGATGTTACGCGAGCTAATTAGAATCTGCTCTATAGATATAAAAAATTACCTATGTAAATTGTTATATCTAAAGAGCAAGTATAAAGCCGTCGGTCTTGTGCATGATTTTGACCGGTCGTGTCGATTTATCGTCCTATCGGAATTTGAGAGTGAAAGCAATAAAGAGTGCACGTTGTGTCTGTGCATACACTATACTATATGTATATATATATATTATTTCTCATTGAGTCAATAGGTATGTTATGTCTTATTTTTATCTTTTTTTATATATCTTTACTTTTTTTACTATTTCTTTCGAAGTGGGCAGAATACTTTTCTCCGTCAGAGTTAGTAGGTTTGAATTATTAAAGGTTCGGGACTCCAGTCCAGTCATATATTCTAAAACTTCGAAGATTTCTAATATTTTGGGATTAGATATACATGATGTACCTAAGCACGAATAAAAAGGGTTCGTATAACAAGTTTGCCGTTCCATCAAGTCCCGCATGTTCCTCCACGTAATATACATAAATAAGTATTCATTATCACACATTGAGAGCAGACGTTCTTTATTTATTTAGAGCTCTTAGATTTTGTTTGAAAACAAAACAGACGAGAAGAAAACCAGCAGAACAATTTTGTTTTTTTAATATCTAATTTTTTACTTATTTTTTTTCATATTTTGACGACACATTTGACTCAGTTTGTAGTGACCCTTGTACTTGCTGTACCAACGGTCGCGGTTTTGAGTCCCGCTGGGGGCATTCATATGTGTGATGAGCACGAATATTTGTGTGTCCCTTCTGTGTATCTCCTTATTTCTGATTCAATATAATGGCGAAACTGAACATTGTTCTCTCCGTTGCTCTTTGGGTCAACATGAGCTTCGTATGAGGTCTGTGCTACACGGTTTGAGCTAGACTGAGACTTGGAATTGTGTTATACTATAAGTTGTTAGTAATTTGCTAACGGCAGTTACGATGCTCTGTATAATTTAATATTAGCATTACGTAAGGTGATCATTGACTAATGCGAGCAACTAATACTTTTGCATCGTTTAACATTCGGTTATATAAACTAGTCAAACTGTGATATCTTGCATCACAAAAAAAGATTACCTCATATCAGAACAATTCCTCTATAAATAGGCATTGAAGTAAAACAGCAATGTTCATATAACTTTATTAAAAAGTATTTAAATATCACATGTACTTTTTGAAGTGTTTATCAATAACAGCATCATTATCCATATAGTAATTATAATGGCGAAACTGAACATTGTTCTCTCCGTTGCTCTTTATAATAAATGTATAGGTGTCATTAATAGCATATTGATATTTGCAACCCGTCCGATGATAATTTTTAGATTTACAATGATTTTTTACGCAAATATAGTGGATAATACGTAACAAATAATAAATATTCACCTTCATTAAATCTACGCATGTGCTTCCAAAAATGCATTTATAATATCACGGAAGCTCTCAGAAGAGATTTGTTGACTAAAATCATGTAATTTTCGTATCCTACCCTTTGTTTATATCTGTTTCTTTTTTTTAGAAAGATATACTGGCGAATACAGTATGAAAATCCGTATAGTAGTTTCTGAGATTTGATTGCGCTTAATTTGTGATTGGTAGCCCAAACAAACATAAATAAAGCGTGTAGGAGGATTTTATTTATAATATGTATTGACTAATCTTATCTTAAATGATCAATTGTATATATGTATATAAATTCATTTCGTGTATCTCGGTTACGGCTCTAACGATTTGGATCAAATTTTGTATTTACTATTCAGATAAGGTTTTGCGTTTTAAATTTATCTATATAGGTGACTCAATTTATATATCTTTTCCGAAAAACACCGAGAGCAGCTCGTTCGCCCAGGTGCTTTTTATTTGAACACTACGTTCTATATTATATAAAATTCCTAGTAATATTTATTTATTGGCAGGCGGCCGGTCACTACCACGACGGTGACTGGAGCCCGGACGGCGGTTACATCTACATAACGATAGTGTACAACTTCTCCGTCAGTCTAGCGCTCTATGGCCTCTTCCTGTTCCTAGGCGCCACGCGTGAAATGCTCAAGCCATTCGATCCCGTGCTTAAGTTCTTCACCGTGAAATCTGTCATCTTCTTGTCATTCTGGCAAGGTAAGTTTAAAATTGTTTTTTGTGTGTTTTTGATATTTATTTGATTGAAATTTTCTTTTTCGATTTTTCTTATCATTTAAAAAGTAACTTTATGAATACATCGTAATGGAAGCTATTTATATACTCATTGTATATCATAGTAAACTAAAATGTATCTAATATTTTATTACAATAATAAAATATTAGATACATTTTAGTTTACTGATGTATTCAAAAATATTTATGATTATTTCTAAACTCATTTAACTTTTTCTTAACTAATGCGTTATTCATATCGGAGGTCATTTGTTGGAGACCTTGTGCAACTTTATTATCAAACGAATCCATAAATACATAATATATCCATTTATTATCAATCGCAGGAAATTTTGAAACTCAATTTAAAAGTTTTGATTAAATTTATATTTTTATTAGATTTGAACATATATCCAATTTAAAAATGAAAGGCATACTATTACTTATTTTAACTTTTAGAACTTTCATTATAAATTAAAAATAATTACACATTAAGAAACAATAAAAGCTGAACGTTGAATGCATGTATAGGTATTCTTTAGAAAATATATTTTATTAGGCAGTGACAAATTACTTGCGATTTTTGTTAAAAATAAAATTGGTAAATGTAATACTCTTGTACAAATCTCAATAAATGTAATGTAATATCACAGTATAAAAATATCAATTAGGGATTATTTCCGGGATGAAAACGAAAACCGAAAAACTGTCATAGTTAAACTGTACATCGCAGAAGGAGAAAGCGTCAAATCTACAAATACATTCAAGTAGTTTATTTTAATTTTAAGATTGCATTCATAATTATAAAGTAAGAAAAAAGGAAAATGTGATTATAACGTTTTTCCGTGAGTTTTTCCTATTTTTCCCTTCATAAGAATCTTCCTCGAAATTCAACGAATATTTGAAAAATAATAATAGTGGAATTGGTCCAGTCGCTCTCGAGTTTTGAGCTTAGCAACACATTTAGCTATTCATTTTTGTACTCGTATTAGTTAAAATAATCTTTGTAGAACTGGTCACGATTATCACAAACTTCAGTAACATAATTTACCTCTTTTTACCAATCACTTACTTATTACCCGGTTAATTTATTAAATCCAAATTTCCCACAGGTGTAGCTCTGGCCATCCTAGAGAAAGCGGATGTGATATCCCCGATAGTGGACTCGAACGGTATCCCAACCACGGCGGGTACGGTCTCCGCAGGATACCAGAACTTCCTCATCTGTATAGAGATGCTGGCGGCGGCTGTGGCGCTGCGCTACGCGTTCCCGGCGGCGGTGTACGCGCACGCGCACCGCGACCCGCACCGCTCCGTCACTATGCAGTCTATATCGTCCAGCCTTAAGGTAACTAACTGCTCAACTATTGTATTTTTTTGAAATAAAACTTCTTTACGCACGCTCGACTTGGGGAGTAAATGGTGAATGCGCGACGAGAGCGTTACATAAAGTGTGATCGGACGAGGCTAACGTTTGTTGCCATGGTAACCGTTGTTATTGTCTAACAAATGATGACAACTGCGCAAGAGATATTTTAGTGCAGCGCGTGTACGCGCAGACACAACGTGCACTCTCTATCCCTGTCACTCTCATACTCCGGTGGCACGACACGAGACACGACCAGTGAGTGTCGGCGCAGGACCGACGGCTTTACGTGCTCTTCGAGGCACGGGGGTGAAACACCGCCAACTTTCCAACTCCGGGTTGTTACTGAGGCTTACTATACAGAAAGAATCAATAACTAAACTTGGCCCGACCTGGAACTCTAACCACCGTACCGTTGTATACGTCAACCAACGACGTACTAGATACGCTTGGGGTGCTAATCCAGGTTTTAGTTTATCTGTATAGTAAATGTCATCCGATTTCGTCCAGCCGTTTTGGCGAGAAGGAGTAACAAACATACGGACTTTCATATTTATAATAGTAGTCAAATTATAAGCATTTATTCCTTATTATTATTCGCCGTATTTAGATTTGACGAAAAAATCTTCATTTTGAGGCGATTATGACGACGACGAAGATAATAATCTAAGATATTAATGTATGACTCACTAGTGACACTTATTTAATTTAAAATTCAAAATCAAAATCAAATCCCATAAAGCCATAGATATTACTTCTCATGTATATAAAATAATTTACGATTTATACAATGCAGTATCCATTCAAATTTGTATTGCAAATAAAAATAGTGATTTTGCACGGTCTAAGAACATTAATAATTTGTAAAGCATATATAGTATAAAATTAAAGTTTTAGAATTTATTTTCAAGATGAATACGCTGATAGTGGTGATCTAGATTAAAAATTATTAGTACTCTAGTTTGTTTTCCTCACAATGTCAGTATCTATGAAATGAGTTTTTATATTTTATCTTACTACAACGTAATTGTGGGAATTTTGGGTTACATATTGGCAAAGCGATATGATACTACATAATATATCTGAAAAGATCGAGTGGTATTGTGCGAGAGATGAGATATTTCATCAGTATAATAATACACAATCAAATTTTAAAATAATTCATACTTATATTAACATTATAAATGTGAAAGTGTGTTTGTTTGTCCTTCTCTCACGTCGAAACAGGGTTACGGATTGGGGTAATTTTTTGTGTGGAGATACTCGTAGTTGGAGAGCTAGAGAGTAATATACGCTACTTTCTACCGCGAGAGATAATTTCATTCCCACGGGAAAACACGTTCTTAAACAACCTACAGGAACTCATCGTACCTACATACATACCTATGTATTGTATACATATAATATTATATAGTCTATCTATTCCTTGCTAACCGTTAAAACGTATTTTAAAAAGTTCTATCAAATTAAGATTACGTATAGTTTTTATATATCATACTAGCGACTCACCCTCGCTTCGCTCGGGTTCGTCACCGTGCAAACTTTCGTCCCCATTCTCACCCCCTTAAGGGATTATTTCCGGGATAAAAACTATTTCACTCACTACTTCTCTAAGCAATGAGATTTTAAAAAATCTTATTTTAGTAAAAAAAAAATCTTTTATTTTCTTCTATACAAATCTTCCTGACAACAAACACAAAAAAAAATTGTCCAATTTAGTGAAGTCGATCGGAAGTAATGCGCGTACATACATTTCGATGGTTCATTTTTATTTATATAGATTTATGCAATTACAGGAGACAATGAACCCGAAGGACATAATGACGGACGCGTTCCATAACTTCCACCCCCAGTACCAGCAGTATACGCAGTACAGCTCCGGTGAGTGAATGTGTTGTGTATTGCATGACGCCGCCTGCTCTCACTCTTGTTTGCGTGTCATTCGATGTAAGCGCCATGCGATAGATGTATATGGATATGCCTTAGCTGTGTCGTTTGTTTATATAGCTATGGATTTTTATATTTATTATTTATACTAGTGACCTCGATCCGCTCGGATGTCCTGGAAGAGATTTTATTCGATTTATATCACAAATATCATACTGGTAAATTATTTTTGCAATATGTTTATTAATTGTACATATGAAGGTGAAAACTGTATGCAAATCCATACAGTAGTTTTTGAGATTAGGTAGAACAAAAACAAACTAATCTTTTATTTATAATTTATAGAGAAGAGAAGACACGTGTCATTTTTTTGATTTGTTAACGTCATTAATGGATTAATTCTTTTTCAATTATCTTGAATGGAGAAAATTCAGTTGTTGTTAATATCATATTTAACGCAATGGAATTATAATATAGATTAAAACTAATAAATCAGTAAAAATATTTTTGAAACCTATCAACAAATGACTGAACGATCGAAATTTAATTAATTAAATTAAATTTCGGTCGTTCAGATCATGTGATGTCACGAAATTATCCTTACAAGTGCAACATTAAAATTTCATAACTCTTTCATTTATTGAGTTAGTCTAATAATTCTTTTATATTTAATTAATTTTTTTATAATTAATACATTAAAAAAATTGGAAACTTCTCCATTGTTTAAATATTTAATATAGAAAAAAATGTGAATTGAAAAAATTAAGTATAATAACAAAATAATGTTTTTAGAAGTTAGTAACAAGAGGAAGGGTTACTTATTGATTACTAGCTATCACTGGAGTGACAACTCACCAAGAATATTAATAAATAGTACTAGTTTTCTTTACCAAGTCGTAATTACATGCAACATGTCATGTCCATATATATCTGTCTAGTGTGAAATGAATGAATGATTGAAGGAATCTTAACAATTTATTTGGCTTGCCATCTGAATCATCTAATTATTGAATGAATGGATTTCTATTTAGAAACATACACGTACATGATTTTTTTTATTATCTTTTACCTATACATTTGCTAAGTAGATGAGTAATAACTAATATATTTTATTGAATTAAATAATATAGTCCGGTCAATTTAGACATTCGAAGTTACATAAAGTCCCAACAAGCTGAATTTCTGTAACATTGTTCAAAATATAATTATAAACAATGTCTAGAAGTTCCCCGTCATTCCCCTGTAAGGAAAAAAATTTATTCAAGGTCAAAGGTCAAAAAAATGAGTTTTTCGCGATTTTCAGCAAAACGGTAAGTTTTATCATAAAAGTACCTCAGACAAAAATTGTAGATCATAAAATTATCTATAAAAAATGTATCAATACTTTTTTTCTTACGAGCCACCGTTTCTGAGATATAACGATTTAAAAAGTTATAAAATTTGTTATCGTCATAATATGCACACGTTTCCACGCCACCTATGAGGTAGTAAACTTAGCGCGCTTTTTTAACGTGGTTTCCCCAGTAGGCCTACTCCACGGGTCAGTTGTGATCCTGTTTAATGTAAAACTATTGCAAAATAACGGAAATTTTCAAAGATTGGGAAAGATAAAAGCGATGTAAATTAAAAAAAAGTGTTGAAGTTTATTCGTCTTATTCGTAAGTTTCAAATTCTTGTTCTTCTTCTTGATCTTCTTCTTATTCTTCTTCTCCTGCTTCTTCTTCATCTTCATTTTGGATGCAAGTAAATTGCGTCAACAGTGATGTATCGCATGATACTTCGTCGGAGTCAACTATTGTTTGTGATTCAATATTAGAGCACGACCGGCCTTGACAATTTGTGCATGCCAAAGAACAAGACAGTCCGACTTTTTTGCAACCACATTTAGCACTGCATCCCTTTTTGCAGTTGCAAAAAATAGTGTTCAGCAGTTTTTCCGGCGCAGGTGGAAGTAAAGTTTGAACTGGCTCTAATATATTGTTGACCAACTTCCAACACCAGTCTGTAGGGTCTAGCTGATAACCAAGCCACACTTGAACTTGGTAATATACTCGAAGAAGATGTTGGTAAGCAGCAACTGAGGTTGGAGGAAGACAAGCTAATTGAACTTGTTTTTTATTTTTAGTATTTTTAACGAAATATGCATATCGATGCTTATCTAAACAGGTAGTTTTTTTAGGAGCTCCGTACATAGAAAGAAGAAAGCGGATGCCGTTGGTAATAACTTCTTGTTGAGTTGAATTACTCTTTTTAAAAACTTCAGCACATTGAATTAAATCTTGTTTTTCAAACATTTTGAAAAATGCTGTTTTACCCCTCCTGTAAAATGCAGATGTCGTATCACAGCCAGTTATTGCGTGTAAAAATAGTACATGATCTTTACACTTTACAAAAGTAAATAAACTTTTTGATGAATATATATCTGATTGATGCTGAGCTTTTCCTGGTTTAAAACTTATGTATATTTTATATTGTAAGTATAAGTTACAATGACCGATAGAAAAATATTTAAACATTTAATATATATATATATATATATATATATATATATATATATATATACATATATATATTTTTACATATATATATATTATATAAAATATAACAACTCTAGATGTATATACGTGGCGTACTCATGCATATTATGACGATAACAACTTTTATAACTTTTTGAATCGTTATATCTCAGAAACGGTGGCTCGTAAAAAAAAAGTATTGATTCATTTTTTATAGATAATTTTATGATCTACAATTTTTGTCTGAGGTACTTTTATGATAAAACTTACCGTTTTGCAGAAAATCGCGAAAAACTCATTTTTTTGACCTTTGACCTTGAATAAAATTTTTTCCTTACAGGGGAATGATGGGGAACTTCTAGACATTGTTTATAATTATATTATGAATAATTTCACAGAAATTCAGCTTGTTGGGACTTTATGTAACTTCACTCTCATTTTTGGTCTAAATTGACCGGACTAATAGCTATCTTTGTAGGTACGGATTTATTAGGAATATTTTATATCTTTTATTACATATTTTCTAGTAGTATAAAGTTGGCATGTCTTTTTATGATTCGTAACGTTTATGAAGATAGATACAGGTATTGTTATTTTTTTGGTTTTATTTTCTTTCAGATGTTACTTCTCACCTGCCTTATGAGAAACTATAAGCTCTGCCATAGCTGTGCTCTGCATGAAGTGCATTGCTGTCTGTCTGTCCATTGTATACATAATAAATAATAATATAATTCCCATTATGATTATGTAACCTGTCACTATTTCAACACCAAAAAAAAAATTGATAAAAAAAAGGTTGTTAGTGGTGACAAGTTATATTTTCTCGCCGAGCATGGAAACACCATTAAGTATTAACATTCATTGAATGACCTCTTAATTTTAACATCAATTATTAAAAAATACATATTTTTCTATTATTGTATACACTAGAGGGTCATTTTTTAGATAATTGGGTCCACAAAATATCATATTTGCCTTGCCTTATATATTTCATTGAAATGTCATGCTTTAAAAAATTCAAAGGTATTTTTATAATGAAAATGACATTATATGCATTTTTATGATTGTAACTGTTCTACATTGATCATTTAAAATGTAGTGATTTCGGTGCTCGGTCAAGAAGTCTCTTAAGTAAGTTTTATTTTAGTTAATACGTTTTTTTTATATCTCGTTGAGGTATTTGGCTAGTCCGATACGTCGCGACAGTTGGTTCCACACATAACTTTATTTCTGTTGTATAACATTATATTCTAATAAATAAAAGCGCTTTTAAATAATGCTTTCAAAAAAAAATATAAATAAGTGTGGGGCTGCCTCTGTGTTTAAAAAATATTCGTTATAAGGAACTATAGATATTAAAAATATTTTTCTTTGATTCATATAAATAATCGGTAATCATTAAGTTCGGACTAATCATTGCCATTATAATTCAGTCGTACTTTTTATTTTGTACTTAAAGCTTTCTATATATTATTATTGTGTTAGACTTGTGTAGTGTGTAAATGTTTATTTTTCTGTGATTTTATTTTTTCTTTTCTTTTGTATAATTTTTGTTAATTATCCTTTAGTTAGAGGATTTAATCCGTTAGAAAGCTAGGCTTGCTTCGGTCGTAAACGAAAATGAAATTTGAATACAGGATTAGTTTTTTCATTTAGTATAGTTTTTTTTAGATTTGGTATAAAACGGTAAGTCAAAATAGAACAGCTTGAGTTTTGCCTGACCAAAGAAATAATATATAAAATGAAGAAAGAAAGGAACAGCCAGGCAAAAATGTTAATATTTGAGCTTTGTATCTATATGCCTTATAATTGTAAATGTTCTGTTTTTATCTATTTAAAGTTTAAATCTAAAAATAAATTTAAGTTTATCAATTTTGTGAAAATTTGAGATTGCTATAATATGTTAATGATATTGTCTCTTTAGTGATTAGGTTTAAGCAAACAATAATTTTCATACCAGCTGTAGAGTTTAAAATCTTTGTATATGGCGTCTCACTAATAAACGATTCTACCTAATTTTGTAGATTTTATTTTAAATGTCAATATTGGATTTTAGGAAACTGCACTGAACAAGGTGAGTGAATGAGTCGTCTATAAGCTTTTTATATTTGGTTGCTAGCATGTTGCTATGAGTGTATTAGCACTAAAGTTACTACTGTGGCTGCTCTTCATTAATGGCATTTATTATTTATTTAATATGCACATATTTATAATTTTATTTCATAATATCATTAACGAATAACGTCATAATAAAATGTAACATCCAAAACTCCATGACAATGGTTATTAGTGGCATTTTACTTATGTTAGTAAATTTCCTAAAACATTGCAACACACAAAGGAGGATTCCTTTTGGCGCAGTTGGGCAAAAATGTGATACAATTTAATACTAATTTTGTACTTTTCTATTTAATGTGTGCTTAGAGAAAAAAAAATGATTTAATAAATTTCCTGTTTTAAAAAGATTTTACTAAGTACGTAGGATGCATTTTAAATTTTGACTAAAAAGCTCTCAAAATCGCTCTTCTAATTCCACCATGAGTATGATTTTTTTTGAAATTCATATAGCACCTTTACCATTAAGGTTATTCACAACTTATTCATTAAAAAGAATTATGAAAAACTATTCTCAATTAGTAACAACACAAACAACCTACAGCCGCACATAACATAACATTTATTGGCTGTAAAAAAGTTGAAAACCGTCAAGTACCTTACCAGACTTAAGAAACATGTTGGTGCCATTAATTACTTCGAAAGCGCGGAAAATAGTTTAATAAGTAATAACACAATAGATTGATGTCATATCAGTTTTATTTTGAAATTGTATAATAACTACGTGTTTATAGGTACATAGATGAATACAGTAGTACTTTTCATCATATGATCATACTCATATTTACATACCTACATAACTAAAAATACTAGAACTAAGTTTGATCATGTCAAACTAAAACCTTTCATTGCAAAACACCGCACACCTACAGCAATATGTAAAAGTTCAGCACAGTAGGTAGGTACTCCACGAGTAAGCAATTGATTTTATGACTAAAAATATATTAATTTCACACTAAGTCACTTGAAAATACTTACTCAAATTAATTCTTACAAACATGCACTTTTTCCCATATTTTTGTTGTTAAAAGTTACATTATTTTCTATTGTCTAAAATGTTTTTGAAATGTAGTGATGCGTGGGGCTGGCATCGGCACTCGAGGGTCGGAGGAAGGAGCAGCGTTGGCGCCTCGGCCGCCGCCGCAGCGAGTGGCCACTATCAGCCACGCCACTAATTATCATGAAAAAACTACACTTCTAAGCTCTGACGACGAATTTCAATGAACGGATTTTAGCAACAATTTCACCACCTTGACAAAACGAGACGTCAATTTTTGGCGCTTTAATAAAGAATCAGTTGCACCAACATGACCATAGGTTTGATGAATGAACATAATTTTTTAATGAAAATGAAATTAATGGATGATTCATTATTTCTAATAATTTAATTTAAGCGCATTTTTATCTGTAAATTAATTGACTCAAAATATTTCCCCTGGCCATCACAGGTGATATTTTTTAAACGTTCCTATACCTTCTTACCAAAATTATAGATACTTAATTCCGAATGATTGAATCGGACCATTTTATATATTATGAGAAAATAAGATCTTCCAAAACGTTTGGTCAGTAAAATTAAATAAAAAGGAATTCGAATTTTGACTCCTGACGACTATGGCGCGCTATGGATGCTGTGTATAGTATTTTTAAGAAGAAGCAGCTTGTAATTTTATTAACATCTAAACAGTTGTTAACAGATATTGTAATAAATAATGGTAATTCAACAAAAAAATGATGTCGCCTTTTTATCTTGCACTTGATCATAAAAATAGTTCGATAATATAGTTTCATAGTGTATTTACTATTTACAATGATTAAATATTAAATGTATCTTTAATGTATTTAATTAAATATGTTATAAGAGAAAAATATTCATGAAATTTTCAATTATTTTAAACTAGTAATTCGTTAATTGTTTTACAAATATGATTTTAATAACTTAAAAAACCGAAAATAATATTAAGTGCATTTTTATTTTATGTAAACTGTTGCTTTATAAGTTAAACCTTTGGTAACATTTAAAAGCTTAAAGTAATGAATCTGTATAAAAATAGCCACTGCCTTAAATCGGAGTTCTAACTTCTAATAATTGTATATTATAAAGATGTAGATAGAACATTACAATACGTAGTACCTACCCAGCTAGTAAGAGCTGACGCTTATGCGAGCCCATAAGATCAACTCTGTGCAATTTAAAGTGCATTTCAGGCACACTTAGTGAAGCATAAAGTTTTGTACATATTAATAGAATTCAGATAAATTTATAGGACCATTTCTTCACTTAACGTTTTATAGATAGCTAATTATGATATTTGTCTCAACGTGAGGCCCGCTTTAATGACAAAACTGCATTGCTTCGCCGTCCAATGAAATTTTTATGCACTTCAATAATATCTTAAATAGGTTTAAAATATGTATTAACCGATTTGAATCATCTATTTTCTTTTTAACAAGAGTAAGGAAATAACAATATAACTTGACTATGTTAAATATTTTATTAGGGAGTTTATCTTATATTTTTGAGCATTTAAATTTATGATGATTAATGTAATTCGTACTGTAAAATTGATGAAAATAAGTAAAAGTGCATGAAAACATAAACACGAGGTCAGCCTGTACAAAGTTTGGTAAAATAATCGTTTACTTTACAAAAACAATAAATAAGTTTATAAATTACTATGTGAATAGGTCTATCTATAAATTAAACAATTCAAATTTTTGAAGAGTTTGCTAACACGAACAGAAGCACGCAAAATAAAGTAAGATGTTAAATTGATCGTATGGTTTTATAAACTAACATTAAATATATTTATATTATAAACGTAAATTAGATAAGTATCTAATGTACCTATGTATATTTTAAATTAAGAGTGTTTTATCGAAAGAAAGTAATATGTAAATAGTTTTTCATTTGTTACTATACATATTCGTTGTTTTTAGTGGTACTCTTGTTTTGTTTTATTTTATAGAACTTTACGTTGAAGTAGAAGCTGTACGTAGAGCGTCTATAATGTAGGTACTTATATGGCATTATATAATAATTGTCAATTAACTTAACCCTTGACTGTAACACCAAAAGGGAGCTTATTCGACAATTAATGTAACATTTTGCATAAAATTGCCCATAATTTTGTAGTTCTTAAGAATTTTTTTGTTCATTCTCAATTATAAATGAAATTATTTTTATAACAAAAATAGAGGGGGAAAGAAATAGACCAGAACCATTGTTGAAAGAGAATATAAACAAATTAATGTTAGATATATAATTGAAATGTTTTAGCTCCAAGTTTTTAAAATTATAAATACATAATAACATTGAAATAAAAATGTTGTTTAATTTTATAACATTTATCCTAAGAATTATCTTCCTATAAATTCAGATAGTAAAAAGGTAAAAAAATAACGCTCGAATAGGGATATGCGTGTGACTTAAATAGAGGTGATTTTTTTAATAATCTTTATTGCTTTAGAATTTTGCCTATGTCAGTATTTTTTAACAGATTAACTGTCCGCAAAATAGACACAATAGCTAAAC